CTTCATATTTAACAGACCGATCCTTCATGGTAAGTTTGGATACTGTCCTTCAGTACATTCACAAATCACATGTGGGTGTTGCCCCAGGGTGCCATTTTGGTCCATTCCTTTTCAACTGTCATGCTCCCTCTTGGCGTGGGGTCCATCAGGTGACATTGGAATTCATTAACTTTCCAACAGTTATGCAGCTGATACACAGTGTTCATCCCATGTTCTGATGACACAGGCAATGGCTATCTGCTCTTTTAACGCATTTTAGACCTGAAATTCCTGGATGGGCAGAAAATTTTCTCCAGCATTATACCAGGACAAAACTGAGGTTTTTAGGTCATCCAGGGTCCTGACGGGCCAGAGAGAGAAACTTTACCAAACTCCAATCACAACTCTTTTAATCCATCATCACAAGTGAAAAACCCTGGGCGGTAATCTTTGACTCTGAGCTGACTTTTATTCCTCACATTTAGAACATCACAAAAATAGGTTGTTATTCATTTAAAGGAACATCGCCAGAGTCCGCACCATTCTCTCTCGGGCCCAACACGGAGACGCTGATGAATGCTTTTTATCATCCAGTCGCATTGACTATTGTAATGCCCTGCTACTAGGGTTTCCCAAAAAGTACATTTCAGGTTTTCTTTTACTTCAAAACTCGGCCCGCACATTGCCCTGACTAAGACAGGGGGGCGGGACCACATTACACCGGTTTTATAAATCGCTGCATTGGGTCCCGTGTGTTTCTAGGATCGATTTTAAGGTCCTTTTATGGTTTTTTTAAATGTCTTAATGGTCTTGGCCTTCTTATCTTTCAGATTTGCTATTTATCCTATGAACCTTCGGGCCCTCTGCGCTCCTCCAGGGCAGCAGACTCCTAACCATCCCCAATAGTCAGGAACACATCACCGGCGAGGCATCTTTTCCAGCACCTACGCCCCCGTCCTTGGAACAGGTCTGAGGAGGAGCTCAGGCCGCAGAGAACATCATATTTGTTAAGAGTAGGCTCAAGACGCTACCTGTTTAGAGTAGCTTTTGTTTAGTATTTATTATGCTTCTTTGAGTACATCTATTTTTATGTTTTTAGACACAGTCTATTTGTATTATTTACTATTTTTTAATTATTTATTGTATCTACCATTTTACTATTATTATCATATTAGGCAGCTGCCATTTTTCTTTTATTGTCACCATTTTGAATGTTTTCTTTCTTTGTATTTTTGTATTGTTTTAGTGTCCCCAGTGGTTTCCTCTGGGAGGAGCCCTCACACTGAGCAGCTGCTCTGGGTGCCTGTCTCGTGTGTGCGCGCGTGCGTGCTGTATATATATAATTTATAAATGTGTTTTGGGGGGGTCTGTGGGGAGGCGGGTTTAGGGCTGGGCATGTGTGATTGTTTTTAAAACTTAAACTGTAAAGCACTTTTGTGTTGCGCTTTTCTTAACAAAAAGTGTTTTATAATAAAATTTGATTGATTGGATTAAAAAATGTTTACAGCAACGGAGCAGATCGTATCCAATGGAGCAGCGAGTGACGTTCCACGTCTCGCATGGTCTCCGCTAAAGTTTATATACAAGTGATGTGTGTGGAGCTGATCTGATGCAAGGACCAGCAGCACTAACATGTTCCGTTGTGGTTTGACTGGAGCTGCGTATTTGCGCGGATCCTTTGGGGTTTGGTGCCACGGATAAAAAGAGCACAGATTGTATGTGTGTGTATGCCCAATGTAGTTCTACCCCTAAAGGGTGCAACTTTGGCAGACAAATAACAGAGGGGAGAGAAATGCTGAGAGTGATGCCGGTCATCAGCACTACGAAGATGATGCGGAATGTCGATGTTACGTTCAGTCAAAGTGGGAAAGGGTGAGTGGCTGCGTGTGCGGCATGAAAGTCGGCCCGAGTTTACTAATTGTGCGCTTTTCATAGTCAGGTACGACACATTGGCGAGCCCAGTTGAGAAGGACCTGCTCCCTCACTACTGTGCGGAAAGGGAGTAATTACTTTTTATTTTGAATGTAATGTGATTGTTTGTTAATGTTTATTTATAACGCGCATTTTACAGACCTGGTACAGACCAATTGAGTTTCCAAAAGCGGATACAATTTACAATTGTTAATGTTTTTTTTTGGGCTGGAGTTTTTTCTCTCTTCTCCACACAGAGATGGGAGCGGGGCCTGTTACAGGGAGGCGCATGCAGAACTATTGGACATATTTTTAGTGGTGGGGGAAACCGGAAAGTACCCGGGGGAGGAACTATTAACCGTACGCAAGACACGGGGAGAACATGCAAACTCCACTCAGAAAGGCCCTGGTCCGACCGGGATTCGAACCCAGGACCTTCTTGCTGAGAGGCGAGTTGAGTGCTATCACTCAGCCACCGTGCCGCCCAGCCGCCCAGCTTATCGACAGGCTGTTGACGGTTTACGCATGTGACGGGTCAACCACCGGTTATACCGGTCAACAGATTTACAACCCTAGCTGGAACTACAGCCTGACATAGGAGCGGGTCCTCTCAATGGGAACTCCCGAGGTTTCCCACTTTGTACCCACTGGGTTTTTGAGTTTTTCATGTGGATGCAGCAGGGTCTAAGGACAGTGATGCTCGAGGACAATTTATGAACATTTCTGGTCAATGGTATTGTCGCCATCTATGGACCATTGGCTCCTTTGTCTTTGCATTTCTGTGTTCGAACGGTTATTTGAGAATCAACAACAGTCCTCCGAGACAACCGCTGTTGTGATTTAGTTGCTGATTAAAAAATAATGATTTGAATTAGAATTAAGGTAATAACACAAATGGTGTGGATAGGTTGAAATCTATTTGGACCAGTGTCCTTCCCTTTGGCGGGGAGCATGTATGTGTAATTAAAAATGTGAGGTTTTTTCCTCAGTTTCTTGAGAAAGGGGAGACTTGGGGAATACAATATTTTAAAGTTGTATGGATTTGATTCATTACTCGCCTCTACTGTTTGATGCCAAATACACAGCTAAACACATTTCTGCTCACCTCTAAAAAAAAACACGCTAAATAAACTCATTCTAAGTACGTTTCGAAACATCTACAGATAAATTTTCTGCCAAAGCGGCCAATTTTAACTGTTTCCTTGATGCCCATCTTCCCTTTGTTTTCTATTCATTATTTTAAAGGACAAGATCTAAAGAATGATCACCTGTCCGTCAAAACCTCAGACAGAGACTTTAAATGGGGATCAGGGCTCAGGCTCCGTGGCCTGACCGGCTTCATCAAAATATGTGAGTAAAATGTCCAAACTCTGCAGGAAAAGCATGAAATTATGATCAGAATTACTTTCATTGTAAGTGACAAGGAATTTGCTTTTAATTAAGGTAGTGAGCAAGTTAAATGTGTGTAATGAGATTACTGTGTCGTCGTCTCAACAGCAGTATTGCAGAAACTGTTCAGATATTTGTGGAATCAGAAGTGTGACTCACTGTAGTCCCCTCATTTGTGGAACATTCCGGCGCTGGTGCAGGTGCTGACCACGATCTGCGAACGTGGCGTTGCGGAGCAGTCCTCACCGCTTGGAGTAGATTCTTAGTACGTCGGGATCGCTGCTCAATACCAACATGGATATTATAATATTTATGCATTGGTTTTAGGTTTTATACGGGTGTTTTTAGGGAACACTCATTATTCTTTCTCGCCAAACACGGTGGTGATAAATACTACTGTAGGTTGGGGGGGGGGGGGGATAAATGGCATAAAAATAAAAAAAATGAAAATGATTACACCTCCACTTGAGGGTTGGTGCATTGGGGTCATTTGAGAGATATTTTGTGTTTGGAAAGTTTGTACCTACCATGAAAAAAAACCCCCCACCACCACCAAAAAAAACTGGTTGGACTTAACCCTTTTCCACATATTATAATTAAATAAAATCAAATATTAAATAAATAAAGAGGGAAGGTTTTTGTTCCACCTCTAAATGTTGGACGTTATATTGTATAAATATATAGTTACAAAATACATTTTGGCTTTGGTTAATTTCAAGCTCGAACCTTCTAAAATCCTCAAGCAGATGATCCATTCCAAAACACCTTCAGCAGTTCAACAGTCGCCACAGGTATGTTTTTTGCTTTTTCTTAAAATGGAAAATCATTATATTCAAATTATATTATAATATTTAGCATATAGTATTATTTTATTACATTTACTTGAGCTTGGTTTGGTGTCAGGTTCCAGCCAAATTTGTTCACCTTTTTAAAACATATTTTAGCTAGAAAGAGTAAGCTAGCGGCTAGCTTGGGCGGCAACAGGGGGGCTGAGTGGTTAGCACTCTCCGCCTGTTCGTAAGAAGGTCTGGGTTCGAATCCCGGCGGACCAGGGCCTTTCTGAGTGGAGTTTGCATGGTTCTCCCCGTGTCTGCGTAGGTTTCCTCCGGGGACTCCGGGTTTTCCCCTACCACTAAAAAATGTACAATAGGTCTGGCATGCGCCTCCTGTTCGGGTACCCCGCTCCCATCTCTGTGTGGATACGTGAGAGACAAGTGCCAAAAATAACAATTGTAACCGCTTTGTGACTTGGTCTGTGAAAGGCTGCGGTATATAAATAAAGTTACTTACTTACTTACTTTCTTAGTAGCTAGCTTAGTATAAAGTTGATTTGACTTGTTAGCTCTTATTAGCCAGTCAAATAGATTATACAGTATAAATTAGTAGATATCACATAATGTATTTGACACTGGCTTAGTCCCTTGTGCTTGTAATACTCAATCCATTTAGAATATTCATCTTTTTCAGAAAAGTACATCATCATACATCATCAAGGATGGCAGAGCCCTAGCACTCGTCCAAAATAGATCTACTGGAAATATTTATAATGCTGATATCGACTTTCCTCCCTGCAAGATTTTCCAACCCCCTACAAAACTCCCTACATGCAGGAGTGTCATAAGCGTGATACGGTACCACCTAGAGAGGGGCATTGGGGAGAGTGAGACAACATACCATGGCAGTACGGGAAGTGACAAAACAGGTTTACGCCAAGTACTACCATGACACTGTCGCTTCTGTCCTATGTCTCCTTGAGCACCATCCAGAGGAAGTTAGAAAGGATCTGGAAACAATTCGGTGAGGGCAAAAAGAGGTATGGACAGACAGGAAAAGAAGATTCCACTTGCTCGTAAAGCAATATAAGAGTTATTCTCATTCAAAGTCTGAGTTTTTGATGTATTTGTCATGACCCTAAACGCGGCACATCACTGGAGAAAAGAGTGGTGTTTAAGTATGAGTTGAATGGAACACAAATATTATGAAGATCAGAAGACTGGAGGGCGGATGTTCTGTCCAAAGGTGTGGACCCAGTTGGTACCATATCATGATGCGAACCCAAAGGCTGAGGGAGAGGAGCGAAGCGTATCATAGGAAGAGAGACCAGCAGTTCTCTTATCAAAACTCTGGATCAAATTTACAGATATCTTGATGGAAAACCGGGAGATATCCTGCTCTAGCAGCGATGAAGAGAAGGTCACACCCCCCAAAAGCGATTGTGACAAATGTCTGGAGTGACACACAGCTTCAAACTCAGGGAGAACAGAGTGAGGTGCGAGAGAGCCAAGGGAGGAAACAATATCTTCAAAGATGTTAGCTCCCCTTACATATGGATGAAGATCCACTACCACAGAGATTTCAAACACATCCGAATAGTTAGAGAGAAAGGTCGGGAAGAATTCTATACAAACTATAGCCAATCTGTCTGGAAAGGGACTTTCTATCTTTGAGGCGAGTACAGCTGTAATTGATGTAGGCAAACAGTATGTTGGACGATGTTGGAAAAGTGCTGGGGTAATGCGATGTGATTTTTGTTAAGGATACCCGTGCCAAGTACTAGAAGTATAAGGGCTGCTTACAGCAATTGAAGCACAAAGTCTGTGTCTAGTTGTGGAAAAGCTGGAGGAGGAGGAAGGGGAAGGGTAAAATGATCAACACATGGTCGGACAGCTACCACAAGAAAGGTGTTCTAGGAAAGTTGTCATGGTACAAGGGTTACATGTGGGTCAAGCAGCCCTATTTTCCTTTGCCAATATTACCAATCCATCAAGAAAACAAACAGAGGACATAGCAATGCAAGATGGATATGGGGTGTCGATTACTGTTTAAAAACCTTTTTCCCCCCCCCCCCCCCCTTTTTTTTTTCGCGTCAGTGAGAGGAGTCAGTGTGTGGATGTGTTAAACTTGTAGATGCTTCATATGACTGAAGCACAGAGCACATCAAAGGGTTTTCAAAAGCTGTTGGCGTGATTTACAACTTGGAAACACCAGCAGGGCAGATCTTTTGTGGCACCCATCACTAACACTGGGCTTCAGCAGTGCAATCGAATAAAAGTGATGCGGTTGGTGGAGGCTGGATATGAAGATGGAGCAAGTGCTTCAATGTTTCATTGGTGGATCTAGATGTAGATAGCAAGGAATGCCAGTGGGCTGGAAGCTACCAGCTAACAGCTAACACCCAGCTAACAGCTAACAGCTAACATCCAGCTAACAGCTAACACCCAGCTAAATCCAGCTAACAGCTAACACCCAGCTAACAGCTAAACAGCTAACACCAGCTAACAGCTAACAGCTAACACCCAGCTAACAGCTTACACCCAGCTAACAGCTAACACCCAGCTAACAGCTAACAGCTAACACCCAGCTAACAGCTAACACCCAGCTAACAGCTAACAGCTAACACCCAGCTAACAGCTAACACCCAGCTAACAGCTAACATCCAGCTAACAGCTAACATCCAGCTAACAGCTAACACCCAGCTAACAGCTAACAGCTTACACCCAGCTAACAGCTAACAGCTAACACCCAGCTAACAGCTAACAGCTAACACCCAGCTAACAGCTAACACCCAGCTAACAGCTAACATCCAGCTAACAGCTAACATCCAGCTAACAGCTAACACCCAGCTAACAGCTAACACCCAGCTAACAGCTAACACCCAGCTAACAGCTAACAGCTAACACCCAGCTAACAGCTAACACCCAGCTAACAGCTAACATCCAGCTAACAGCTAACACCCAGCTAACAGCTAACATCCAGCTAACAGCTAACAGCTAACACCCAGCTAACAGCTAACACCCAGCCCAGATAGACTATCTCCCCACATGTATCAATGCCGTAAGCTTGGTGAATGAATACATTATCTCCTCTCATAGTTGTTGGTAGCCTAAGACTAGTACTAATAAAGCTAAGCCTCAAATCACGATTATTAACTTAGCCGAACCACATTAGCTAACATGGCAATGTAACGCACATCAACATGAGTTATAAAAAAAATGAGGGATGTACTTACCCATATATGTCTTGGCTTCAAATTCTAAAATAATTATTTAATAATTAGTTTTTTCTTCTCCATAACTCTTAAGTATGCCGCTGCACATATGGTCCTGCTTGTTGAGCGCATTAATGAGGTCTATGCGCTTCTCATTGGCTGAAATGTTTCACCAGATCTCAAACACGTCCTCATTGGCTGAAATGTGTCACCTGACCTGAAACCCGCAATCTCATTGGCTGGGTCCACACACACTTTCACACACTTTCAAAAGAACACTAGCGACCCAAAACCTGTAGGGGGAGATACTGAGTACACACACTTTACACACACTAAACTGGTTTGTGCGTACTCATGGTCCAAGGATAAAAAAGGCATGGGGGGTAGTAGAATATGCTTCTGAACAGGAATTGAATGAAATCTACTCGTGGGGTCCGGCATTTTGGGCCCCACGGTGACAGAGGGCCCCATGGTGTTGGTGTGTTCCCTATGCCAGGGCCCCATGGGTGTACATTTGCAAGTACACACACACACACACACACACACACACACACACACACACACACACACAGTAATAGATCCATGAGCCCAGCGCGGAGCTGTGTAAGATAGAGACCAGGTGTTGATTTATTTTCATTCTCCTAGGACCACAGCAGTGCTTGACTGCCCGTGCTGTGCTAAGAAGGGGGTGGTCCGGCTGGATAAGCACCTGCAGGACAGGCATCTTAAGACCTCCTCCGATGTAAATTGCTTTTATCAAATCCATATGTTTCAATATGTGTCCAAACAATATGTTTTGGTTCGTAGGAGCGTGCTGCCCTCTTGCGCGAGGCAAAACGCGCGGCCATAGTAAAGGAGCTGAGGGACCTCAGGCTCTCAGACCCGTCAGTGCCCCTCCTTTCTGAACTGGACATTGGTAAGAACCAAAACAGTACTTTTAACTGTTGTTGGATATCTGGAAATATATAAATAATTTATAAATTGATAACACCTATGTTAATTCATGGATAATATTTGTAATGAAAAAACTGTTTTTTTATTTACATTATTGAATCAGATAAACCCAACGACATGCCACCGTTGGAGTTGGATCAGTCTGGTGAGTGTTTATTGCTTTTGATAGTAGTAGTACTACTACTACTACTACTACTACTACTACTACTGAGTAATGGAAATTCATATATGCATATTGAATCAGATCCTGAGCCCCTGGTGGGAGGTGAGGGGATGGAGGAGGAGGAGGATCAGGCCATCGCCGGCCCTTCTGTCTCTGGTGAGTATTTATTTATTACTCATACACACATTTGTACTACTACTACTATTACTACTAGTATTACTACTGTGTTAACAATGTCATTGTGTACATGTAATTTGTGAATCATAGTTTATTTTTTTCAAAAACCTACATATGTTATGGCATAGATAAACTTTGGAACGAATTAACTATAATTTCATATATACATTATTCCTCCCATATTGAATCAGATCCTGAGCCCCTGGTGGGAGGTGAGGGGATGGAGGAGGAGGAGGATCAGGCCATCGCCGGCCCTTCCCTCTCTGGTGAGTATTTATTGCTCTTGATAGTTACTACTCCTCATACTGTCCTCATAAGAAGACAGGTAAAGCTTTTCTTCTGTTGTGATTCAGGGCTATACAAGAATAAATTGTATTGTATTGTTTTGTACCACTGCTACTAGTGCTATTACTACTACTACTACTTCTACTGCTGCTGCTGCTACTACTACTACTACTACTATTCCTACTGAGTAACACCTACCAATGTTATTGCGTAGGGTTATTGAAATGTTGAATCATGGAGTACATTATTTTTAATAAAGGGACTTCATACCACATGGACCAGGAGAGGCCGGGTCCATCTGTCAGTTTGGAGGCATTCCAGAGGCTGGAGGCCCGCCTCAGCAGTCTGGAGCGCTCCCACGCCCTTCTTTTAAAGAAGTGGCGGTCCCTCCAGGCTGCCCCGGCTCCCGTGGCCCCCACGTCCGCTCAGAAGGGGGAGCACGTGGGCAAGCTACAGAATGCGGACTTCCTGTATGGTAAGTTGGTTACTAATAGTTTTGGACCATGGAGGGAAATATTCAAATATTGTCATCCTTTTTTCTAAAAGTCAATTTGATTTTATTGCAGAATCCCTCGTGGAGGACTACAGGCTGTTCCGGCTCGGGGCGCGGACCAGGACGAAGGACATTGACAACGCGAAGCAGTCAGCCAGCCACTCCCTGAGGTTCTGCCGGTACATGGCCCAGGGAGTGGCGGCTGACTGCCTGACCAGGAGCGTCAGGTTCCTCAACCGGCTGGACCACCTGCGTGGGTGAGTATTAGTCTGCTATCTTTGGATGAAGAATTAGGTAACTCTGCATCTTGTTTAATATCACTAAAATTGGTCCAAGAAAATTTGCCATTTAGTTAGGATTTTCTTGTGAAAGTGAGTGGTGATAGATTTAAAAATTCTGGAAGATTTATATGTGGTAACCTGTCTGTTTTTTTACACAGATACCCGACGTACCTGGTCAACAAGGGGTACAAGAGTACCACAATCAAAAATATGATTACCAATGTAATCATGTTCCTGCGCCATGTGAGCAAGCGCTTCCCGCGCCAGACCCGCCTGAGGCCCGCTGAAGCCTCTAACATCGAATATGAGCTTCAGCGGATCCAACATCCAGCGGGAAGTGCTTGTTCACAGGCAAAAGGTCCTCAAGAAAAAGTCAGGTAAGGCTTTTCCTGTCTTATATGGGTAACACCACTGCTACTACTACTACTACTACTACTACTAGTACTAAATCATTGACCAGTCCGAAATGGTGAAATGTCACAACAGGTCCAAATAGGGATGTGGTTTTCACTAGTGTTACGCCAGTTCCATTCTTTTCACAGCCGACCAGCTGGACCCCAGGGACAGCGTCACATTTTTGGACAGGGCCAAAAGGGCCATTGACGAAATTATCTGTAAGTAGAGTACATTTGTGATTGTTTTTCATTTTCATTCCAAGAAGTTGTTGCTTCCCCTTAATACCTCGTGTTGTTGGGGTGTAGGCCGAAAGGATCCCGATGAGCTGCATGGCCTGGGGATGGGCTACATACTGTGCTACCTGGCCATTGTAACAGGCCACCGGGCGGTGGTATTCCATCACGTGACGAAGGAGTCGGTACAGGAGGCCGACTCCTGGAAGTCTGGAACTCGCTTCCAAGTGTTGGTCAGTCATACTATGTACCATTCAGAAAGTAATTAGAAAGGTTGTTAATTATATTAGCGAGTTGTGGTTTCTTATCAGGTCCTCATAAAAAGACTTGTACTCACACACAGGTCTCCCTTTTGTCCGAAATTGCCTCTAGAGATCTAAAATTTTGGCAGATTGTAGCCTTGGTCGGTGCAATACCGGGAAAAACAGGGGCGAGTTCTATTTCCCACGCTTGGTTTCTTATCCGTCAACAGATTTTTGTTTTGTTTTCCCCCAAGGTGGACGACCACAAAACCAGTCGAACATTCGGGCAGGCCTCCCTCGTCCTCGAACGCCACGAATTTAACTGGCTCCGTGTCCTGGCCACCGGTGAGGTCTGCACTGAGGAGTGCAGGGAGGTGGACAACATATTCCACTCGCCATCTGGAGGCCCAATAAGACAGGTCTCTGAGCTCATAAACAGGGCGTGGGCAGCGGCTGGACTTGGGGGGTCCATCAGCTTCAACAAGATCAGGAGCAGCGTGTCCACACAGGTAACATCTTGATTGATGCGTAAAATTGACTGCAGAGTTGAATTTTGATGTTTATTCATGTTTTCTGTTTGTAAGGCCAATGACCACCTTACGGAGGAGGAGCGGCGGAGGGTGGCCAGGGCCATGTGCCACGACCCTGCCACGGCCTCCAAGTTCTACGTGGCCCTCCCCAACGGGGAGAGCCAGTATAGGGACAGGCTGCTAAGGATGAAGGCCCTCTGTCTGGCCTCGAACACCAGGCCAGACAGGCACACCAGGCCAGCGGTCTCAAGTAGCTCAGAGTCAGAGGGACCTGAGCCGGCTTATCGGGACTCGCCCGACTCCTCTGGCTCTGAGCTTGCCAGCCCTGAGCCAAACCCCTCCAGCCCTGAGCCAGACCCCTCCAGCCCTGAGCCCTTCACCCCACCGCCTCAGCCCTCGACCGCCGACCGCCAGCCCTGGACCCCGGTATGGGACTGCAGCGAGGGTACAACGGCCTCGAGGAAGCGGCGGCGGATGCTCTTCCCGGCCGACGAGGAGGACGAGGAGCCTCGCGCCCTTCCTCACCCCATAAAGCAGTGCACGGTGGACTGCGACAGGCTGCCGAGTGGGGTGCTCCACTTTTACGCGAATGTCATTCGAGAGTACCCAGCTCAAGGACCGACGAGTGTGTGAGGACCTGTATGTGTAATACAAAGTCACTGTCCCCCGAAGGGTACAGTAATTTATGTCTTCCTGTGACTGGTTAAGTTTAGGGCTGTTCCCCTCTATGGTTAAGGTTAGGGCCAGGAGCTAGGCTAGACTTTAGCTCTACTCTACTATGGCCACAATCTTGACAGTAGTCCAAGTGCACAGCTTGGCTGCTTGTTTCCTGCACAACATGAAAATCAATTGCGACTTGCATATTGTTTCCACGTTTACAAGATTGTATACTAGAATTGAACAAATTTAGTTTCAATTGGGTTCTTCCCTAATGCTAATGCTAGTGCCTTGAGTTAAGGTCATGGTGTCCAGAGACTGGGCGAGGCACTGGCCAGTAATTAGTAATACAAAGTCACTGTCCCCCGAAGGGTACAGTAAAATGCACGGGCCCTCTCCCTGACTCTGGACCAAGCGGACGTTTCTGGGCACTGGCAACCACCATGATGGCCGCCATCTTGTGTCCAGGGGGTTCAAAAAATTGCTCTATAGTAGAGTGTATGTGTAGAAAAATTGTAGACGCTACGTTTCGACAGCTTCTTGTGTCTTCTTCAGGCGAGTTCTACACTGACTGGAGGCACTCTGTTCGGTGTCCTCTTTTATATGGTGTACAGGCTCCGCCCCCCCACTCTTGTTGAGGGTTAGGGTTAGGGTTAGGGTAGGGTTAGGGTTAGGGTTAGTGTGGGTTAGGGTTAGGGGTTAGGGTTAGGGTTAGGGTGGAGACTGCCCCCTGGACGGAGGAGTGGAGGCACGGGCCCTCCCCCTGCTGTCAGACGCCCATCGGGTCCCCAGGCTCAGGCGGTCACCGCTGTGGCCCTGCAGGTGCCACCTTCGGCGACCACGGGGCTGAGCCCAAGGTCCGTCATTCGCCATACTCTAACGAATATGTAATAAGTGGGTTAGTGAACAATGAATCGACGTTTCGACCAAGTAGGTCTTCTTCAGGATGTGTTCACTAGGCGAGCAAGAGAATGAATGAGCCTGGAGAGTGAGAGCGGCTGCTATTAGAGCTCGGCTCCGCCCCCCGCACTCTGATTGGCTCCTTCGGTTCAAACCCGGAGGATTCAAAAAATAATAATGTTTAACTTAAAATTAGTTCTATTTGAACACATCCGCCTCATTTTGGCTCGTGCACAATGGTTGGGCATACCCAAATGTCTTTGCTTATTTAAAAACACATCTTACATCTCACATGCTTGTGTGATGCATCATTTTAAAGCTAGAGCCTTCTAGTTTATGTAAAAAAACACTAAAATAATGTTTGTCATTCCTATTTTCCTCTGCATCCTTTGAAGTTAGGGAAAAAAACCCAATTTTTTTAGCCTCGCCTAACATTTTCAATTTCTAAAGGCCCTAAAAAAGGCATACTTCATTGTAAGTTCACAATATTCAAACCCTCTGTTCATTGTGTTGTTGACAACAACTGTCTAAAGTTTCAGACTTCTAAGTTTTATAGTTTTTATGCAGTTTCTCCTTTTCATCAAGTAGTGCACATTTGGCACAATTTGGCACAAGTGTGCCAAATTGTGCCAAATATCTTTACTTACATTTAATCATCATAAAAACAATATGTTTTATTATTGGTACTTATAAGTTACTAATCTATGTGTGTTTTTCTTTTTTAAATGTCAAAGTTATTTTTTTATGAGTGTAAATTCATTGCAGTTTCGAGAGCGTCTTTTGGCTTCCATTACGCACAATTGTCCAGGCACAACATAAGACAGGACACCATTGTCCCACCCCTTGTTCGAAAGCTTTCCTCATTGGCTACAAGGACATGTCAATCGTAAATCCCGGAAGTAAAAGCAAACAAGTTGGGATCACGACAAAGATCAGTCAACTCTGCGCAAACAGCAGCACGAGCGGTACTTGCGGGAGCTATTGCAGACCCAAAAATTGGTCTAGCTTTTCGGGAGTAGTCTCATTTGAAAGATAAGGAGCTAAGGAACACGTAGATACCAGATGTTTGGGTGAAAAACAAAGCTAAAAGTCCGTTACAAGTGAAAGAGTAACATCTGTGCTCTTTTTTTTCGTTTTTTTCGCTAAAGATAAATGCACATTTTTGGATTATTTCTGCAGAATGGATTTTACTTTGGGAAATACAAGTGGATATAATTTTGGACTGTTCCAGAGAGAATGATGTATTGCAAGCTGGGAGGAGAGCTGATTTATTTGTACAGCACAAGCTCAAAGGTAAAAAACTATTTCGGAATTGATTTATTTTGTGCCCACATTATGTGTTATATCTTTTGAATGCAAAGTCTGATGTAGTTTACACTTGTATATAAATGTAGATAAGAAAATAAGCTTTAAAATGATATACAGCTTTTGGGGTTTGGTGTTCAAAATACATCTGCTATTGCCAGCAGAACATTTAAAAACATAAAAACAGCCGCCGGCGCGCCGGTTGTTGTTAAGTGGTTAAAAGGATCAATTGTAACTTAAAATGAGTTCTACTGAACTTAAATAAGATAAAACAAATAAATAATAAAGCCAAGTCACGAACATTTGACTGTTTTTTAACATTGAAACATGTAATATTTTTTATAGAAGGTTTTTAATTATATTTATTTATTTATTTATTTATTTATTTTTTTGTGTTTTTATTCATTTTTTGTACTTTTTTTACAGGTTTTCATGTCCTTTTTCTTTGTAATTACTTTTTCCTTTTAAACTAAAATAACTGTGCTTACAGTGTGACCCGGCTGTACCCTCCACTTCCTGGTTCCTGATGGAGGCCTCTCAGGTAAGTGTGGTCAATGGTGGTTGAGAAGGTGGTTAAGGTTAGGCGTAGGGTCGGGAATGGTTAAGTTTAGGATTAAGGTTAGGGCTGGGGATAGGGTTAGGGTTATCCCTCTGTTCCCTGTGATTAATACCAAAAGATAACAGTATTTTCTCCACCCTGGTGTATTGGATTGCACTTGCCAGGAAGGATGCCGCATGATTGAAGTTCCCCCCAGGGAAGCAGTCAATCTGTAGGTCTGTGATGGAGTGAGTTGGGAAGCCCCTGATATTGGAATCCCCCACAATAAGCCATTTTTTATCACAGCTCAGTGTCCAGTCTGTCATCTTATTTTTTGTTGTAATGTGTACCATGGGTCTAAATGTCCTTTTCCTGTCTAGGAATGCTGCCCCCCTGTCAAGTGTTGACTTCCCCAAAGATCTGCTCCTGGTCTGGGGTCCCTCCACCAGCTGTCTTGCTGTGTTTTGGGCTGTGTTTGCTCGGGCTTCGAGCTGTTCTCCCTGCAGTGCATTATTTTGTCCACCAGATGGAGCCATTGTCGCAGCTGTCATGTCTGTCTGGGTCACTGTGTCCACGCCCTCAATAAAATGAGTTTCTTTATTTTTGTTTTGTGGTTGGGCTCTATTTGGTGTAATATTCCCTTTTTGTGGTGCGAAAAGAACAGTTTTTATTCTTTGTTGTGTACGGACTCTTTGAGGTTTGGGTGCAAGTACACGTGAGTTGTGAGTTTGTGACTGTACAGGTGGATTCTGAACCTGAGCCTGCACCGTGACGTCTCCAACCGATGGAGGCTGCTGTCCCTGTTGTGGTGGGGATGTAACAGCTGTCCAGTCATGTGTAGCTGGTTGGTTTCGTACTACGTCACTCTGGGGTTCCCCTGTTGTTGTTGGCAGTACCCCTGGCTTCCTACAGGTGGTGATCATAGCCTCTGCGTGATCTATTTCACTCTGTGTGATCCTGGGCAGATTCTTCCGGGCCCAGGTGGAGGCTATTTGAAATGCCAGTTTCCAGTCCGTGGGTAAGTCAGTGGCTAATTCCCCAAGAAGTTCCCCCAGTTTCCCTTTATAGTGGTCTTCTAAGATAATTAACGTGGTGTGTCCCCAATTTTTGGCGTTCCCGGAAATCAAATCTCGCGTGAGTTGTGATGGGAGCGCGGGTTTTATTATGGTAGCCAGCTGTGCGACCATTTGTTCAATCATCTTAGGTTGTTGTTTTTCTACCCCTGGAGATACTACTTGGAGGTGGTGAGTGATTTTAATGACGTTATGGAGTCTCTTAGCCAGCTGTCTAACGTCCGGATCCAGTGGTTCTTGGTGGTCCTGTGTCCGTGGGTAAGTTCCATGTCGTTGTTGTTGTTGTTGTTGTTGTTGTGGATGACGTCTGTCTGTCTGTGGTCTTTGTGTCTGATTATTTCTCCTGTTTTGTGTAAAGGAGTTTGTGTGGGGTCTGTGTCCATTCCTCCTGTTGTGAGGTCTGTAATTATTAAATGCCCTGTCACGTGATCCATGGGGTCTGTCATACTGGGGTCTGTGGTGGTCAAAATCCCTGTCATGGTAAGAGTGTGTACGAGGTCTGTAGTTTCGTGTACTGGGTCTGTGGTTGTTATTGTCCCAGTCACGAGGATAGGAGCCCTCCCTGTATCTCTGTTGGGCAGGACGGGATCTGGGTCTACCATATCGAGTGACCTCTGCATAGGATCTAACCCTGGGTTCTGGGTTTAGGTCCTGAGGTCTGGAGCTAGGGTGAGGCACTGGCCGAGGATAGTATGGAGACTGCCCCCTGGACGGAGGAGTGGAGGCACGGGCCCTCCCCCTGCTGCCAGACCCCCATCGGGTCCCCAGGCTCAGGCGGTCACCGCTGTGGCCCTGCAGGTGCCACCTTCGGCGACCACGGGGCTGAGCCCAAGGTCCGTCATTCGCCATACTCTAACGAATATGTAATAAGTGGGTTAGTGAACAATGAATCGACGTTTCGACCAAGTAGGTCTTCTTCAGGATGTGTTCACTAGGCGAGCAAGAGAATGAATGAGTCTGGTGGGTGCGAGCGGCCGCTATTATAGCTCGGCTCCGCCCCCCGCGCTCTGATTGGCTCCTCCGATTTAAACCCGGAGGATTCAAAAAATATAACTGTTTAACTTAAAATGAGTTCTAATTTGAACTTAAAAGGATCAAATGTAACTTAAAGTGAGTTCTACTGAACTTAAATAAGATAAAACAATAATAATAAAGCCAAGTCACGAACATTTGACTGTTTTTTAACCTTGAACAATGTAATCTTTTTTATAGAATGTTTTTAATTATATTTTTTTATTTTTTTGTGTTTTTATTCATTTTTTCTACTTTTTTTACAGGTTTTCATTTCCTTTTTCTTTGTAATCCCCTTTTCTTTTTAAATTAAAATAACTGTGCTTACAGTGTGAACCGGCTGTACCCTCCACTTCCTGGTTCCTGATGGGGGCCTCTCACAGGTAAGTGTGGTCAATTTATGTATGGTGGTTGAGAAGGTGGTTAAGGTTAGGCGTAGGGTCGGGAATGGTTAAGTTTAGGATTAAGGTTAGGGTTAGGGTTAAGATTAGGGCTAGGGTTAGGGTTAAGGTTAGACGTGGGGGTGGGAATGGTTAAGTTTAGGGTTAAGGTTAGGGCTGGGGATAGGGTTAAGGTTAGGGTTAGGGTTAAGGTTAGGGCTGGGTTTAGGGTTAAGGTTAGGCGTGGGGGTGGGGATGGTTAAGTTTAGGGTTAAGGTTAGGGCTGGGGACAGGGTTGTGGTTAATTTAGTCCAGGGTGTGTGGTTAATTTAGTCCAGGGTGTGTTTTTTTGTTGTTTTTGTTCCCCAGTAACTCAATCCATTGTTTTGCTCTGTCTCTCCTCTCTCTGTCTGTCCAGGTACAGTTCGCCTGGAGTCCCGACAGCTCCAGCGCCTCCAGGCCGTGCACCAGGAAGTGAGACAGGCAGAGTGAGAAGAGGGAGGAGGAGGAGGAGGAGGAGGAGGCATCCTTCCTCTGTAGCGCACTCCTAAGTAACCCCTCCTGTTCCCCGAGTGAGCCCCCTGTTTCTCCCACATGTTGTAATTTGCACCTCCTACATCTAATCAAGTAAATCACATTTTTTGTCTGGGGGCCAAAGGTCTGAGTCACTTTGTAAATGAGTCCCTTTGCTCTATTGTAAACAAAAGTCCTCCGGACCAGCGAGGTCCCTTCCCTGTTGGGAGGGTCTGGATCCTGGAGTGACCTGAGTTTAGCCGTGACTAACCGATCCTTTAGATTTTTATTTCTCCTGTACGCCCCAATAAATCTGTGGTTAGGCAGGAGTCCCTGGGTCTGAATGAACTTGTCATAATTCTCTCTGAGTCCAGGTCTCAGTGAGAGGGAGGCCTCTGAGAAGGTGGAGATGAAGGGGACCACTTCACCCGTGGGCCTGTCCCTGACCTCCTCAAATGTGGAAAGGCAAGTTCTCAAAAAAGACCTTGAGTATCCCCTTCTCCTCAGGGCTCCAAAAAGGATGTGCACTGCTTCTTTAAAGTCCTCGTCCTGTGTGCAGATACGTTTAAACCGAATTAGTTGTGATTTGACTATTCCTCCAAATATGTGTTTAGGGTGGTGACTGGTTTTGTGCAGTAGGGCATGTGTGTCCGTGTCTTTGAAATAAACTTTTAGGTCTAATTTTTTAATTTGGAAAAATAGTGGTCCCTTGTATACAGTTGTGTCTAGGAAATCCACGCTATGGGGGCTAATTATGTGTTTGAGTTTGATTGAGGGGTCAATTGAGTTCAAATGGTTTATAAATTCCTCGAATTCTTTTTCAGAGTGGGTCCAGATACCAAAGATATCGTCCAGATACCTGTAATATGCCAGAGGTTTGTTTGGACACGAGTTTAAGGCCCTCTCCTCCCATTCTGCCATGAATATATTGGCATAGGAGGGGGCAAAGCGTTTGCCCATGGCAGTCCCTTTGATTTGTAGATAAAATTGTCCATCAAATTCAAAGTCATTACGTGTCAAGTTGATGTCAAGGAGCTGGAGGAGTTCTGAGTCTGGTCTGGTAGGGTCTGGGTATTTGGTCATCATGTTCCTGACTGCCTGGATTCCTGCTGGGATGTCAATGTTGGTGTACAGTGAGTCTACGTCCATAGTAAAGAGGAATGAGTTTTTCGGGGTTGTTATGTTTTTAACTAATTCAATGAAGTGGTATGTGTCTTTCAGATAAGACGGGTGTCTGGTCGACAGGGGGTGGAGGTGGTGTTCCAGGTACTGAGCCGTCCCATACGTCTCGCTGGAACAGTCAGAGACGATGGGACGGCCCGGTGGGATCTGGAAGGGGATGGTCCATTTCTGAGGCTCTTTGTGAATCTTGGGCAGTATGTAAAAGAGCCTGGCCCTCGGCTCTTCGCTCCCTCTCAGGTACTCCTTTTGTTTTCGGTCTATGTATTTTTTTGTTTTTAGTGAGTCCAGGATTTTGTCTACTAGGGGTATTGTTTCCAAATAGATGGGGGAGTCTAATTTCGTGTAGTAGGTGGTGTCATTTAGTTGTCTGTGAACTTCAATTGTGTACTGGTCCCTGTCCAATATGACCGTAGCACTGCCCTTATCCGCAGGTTTGATAACAATGGGCCTCATTCACGAATAACTTCGTAAGAAACTACTCAACTTTCTTCTCAAGTTGTCCTTAAGTAGATTTCTAAGAAGTCCCCACGTGGGATTCATCAACGCACTCGTAAGCCGCTGAATTGTTCGCAGCTGTTCTCTCAGATTGATGAATCCCATTTCCTCGTAAGTACAGCGCGCGTGCCAGGTGCTTCATTAGCATAGGTACTTAGCATAAGTAACCGCCCACTAATGCCCATATAAGGGACTGCAGGGCCGTGTGCAGACGGCCCTGCAGCAACAGGCCTAAAGCAAAGAGTTACACGGAGAAAAAGAGTCACCCTTTTTTCTTCTTTTACCAGACTGAGAATAAAGTTATAAAATGTTGACTTAAAAGTCGAAATATTATGATAATAAAGTCGAACTAGCAAAATTATGAGATTAATCTAAGAATATGATGAGATGAATCTCAAAATGTTATGAGCTTAATTTAAAAATATATTATGTATTATTTTAAAGATGAATCTCAAAATGTTTTGAGATTAATCTCAAAATATTTTGGACCCTGGGAGGAGATTCAGCGCGGACCAGCGCTGAGACCAATGCAGACCCGAGGAGAGACTGGAGTGACCAGCACACAGAAACCAGCGCGGACCTATAGGAGAGACCGCATAGACTGGAGTGACCTGACAGGAGAGACCGGTGCGCAGAGACCAGCGCGGACCGAAGATAGACCGCATAGACCAGACTTGAGAGACCAGCGCGGACCCGTATGGATCCAGGAGCATGCAGCACGGACCCGTATGGAGAGACCAGTGCAGACCCGTATATGGGAGAGACCAGTGCAGACCCGTCTAGATCCATGGGAGAGACCAGTGCAGACCAGTATAGATCCATGGGAGAGACCAGTGCAGACCCGTATATGGGAGAGACCAGTGCAGACCCGTATATGGGAGAGACCAGTGCAGACCCGTATAGATCCATAGGAGAGACCAGCGCAGAGACTCAGCGCGGACCCAGTAACCTCCTGGCAGCAGCAGTATATATGCCGTTGTTCTGTGGCCCGTGGATAAAGAAATGCCCCCTATAAATAGGAAGGGGTCACTAATACACGGCAAGATTTCCAATGTATTTGATAAAGCGTTGGCACATTTCATTTCAAAATGAATTAAAAAGTAGGCCAGATCTGCAGTGAAAAAGGCGGTATATAAATAAAGATTACTAATAAAGATTACTACAAATAAATAAATACATACATCGACATGACGGACATATCACTGGAATGTTGTATTTTTATTCAACTTCACCAAAGAGGATAACCCCGGCGTGTGAACATGTCGGCACTGAATGCGTACGAGTGCTCCTGAGGACTCGTAGGATTTGTACTTGCCCAAGAGAAATTCTGGTTACGAGAAATATTCGTGAATGCCACTTTCTTCGTAAAAACCGCGTAAGTAGGATTTACGTACAAATCTGTTCCTAAGAACCGTTCGTGAATGAGGCCCAATGTTTTTGTTGTTAGTCAGCTCCTTCAGGGCTTCCTTTTCCTCCTGAGTGAGGTTCTGTTTGACTGTGGTTCTTCTGTGATTTTTTTCTTCTAATTCTTTTAGGTCTGCTTTAATCAAAAAAGGCATTTCTGGAGGGAGGAGTTCCTGTGGAGGGAACCACTCTGAGGTCCCTCTGAAAGGCCTGGACTGGGACGTGTCTCCACTATTTTTGAAGTAGAGTAGGAGTTTCAATCTCCTATGGTAATTTTGAAGGTCTAATTTTAATTGTTCTCTCTGATTCTTTTGTAGGTCTAGTGTGGGGATAAAACTGAGACCTCTTTTCAGTAGGTGGAGTTGTACCTCTGAGGGCTGAAATGTTTTTGAAAGAACAATTACATTCTGGGTTTCCTTTTTAGTTTCCAGCCCCCTTGTGTTTAAGCTTGTGGGGCTTTGGCGTTTAAAAAGGAGACCCAGTGTTTGAAGATTGCCTCGGCCGTGGGTCTGGTCCAGTGGACATTGTCTGCCTTTGTGTTAAAGGTACGTGTGGGGATAGCAGGGATACAGTGCTCCCTCCCTTCAATGTGGTTATTCAAGTACTTTATGTTCTCTTGCTGATTGCGTGCCAGGTTCTTGGAGAAATTAATTGATGGGACCCAGACCTCTGCATAAGGGAACCGTGATTTAGCTGCCTCCAGAGCTGCCTGCATCTGACTCACAACAGTGTCTTTATCCCTCTGTTCCCTATGATTAATACCAAAAGATAACAGTATTTTCTCCACCCTGGTGTATTGGATTGCACTTGCCAGGAAGGATGCCGCATGATTGAAGTTCCCCCCAGGGAAGCAGTCAATCTGTAGGTCTGTGATGGAGTGAGTTGGGAAGCCCCTGATATTGGAATCCCCCACAATAAGCCATTTTTTATCACAGCTCAGTGTCCAGTCTGTCATCTTATTTTTTGTTGTAATGTGTACCATGGGTCTAAATGTCCTTTTCCTGTCTAGGAATGCTGCCCCCCTGTCAAGTGTTGACTTCCCCAAAGATCTGCTCCTGGTCTGGGGTCCCTCCACCAGCTGTCTTGCTGTGTTTTGGGTTAGGGTTAGGGTTAGGGTTAGGGTTAACTGTAGCTGTAGGTATAGCGAAGAAACTCAAGATGGCCCTCTGGGAATGGCCCTCATTTGCATATGAGCATTTCACGTTTCAGCCAGTAGAGGGAGGCAGGTGGAGAGACAGAACAGGCTATATTTAAAGTCATTTTTAAGTCATGAACTATTATATTTTATTTACATTAACCTCAGAAAGGAGAGATGCATTGTACCAGGTTGTAGCACTTGTGCTAATTTCCACCTGCAGTCCCTGGCCTATTGCACATGTTTTTTGGTGGTAGGGGAAACCGGAGTACCCGGAGGAAACCTACGCAGACACGGGGAGAACATGCAAACTCCACACAGAAAGGCCCTGTCCAGGTGGGAATCGAACCTGGGACCTTCTAGCTGTGAAGATTTCATGTCATATTCCAATTTCCTGACATTTGTGGGTTTTCACAAGCTGTAAGCCCTACTTTACAGAATTACATTGTTTTACATGTTCTGCCTGTGGTGTGCCTCGTGGTGTTTTCAATGAAAAAAAAAAAGTGCCTTGGCTCCAAAAAGGTTGAAAAACAATGACGTAAGTAGGGCAATATGAGTTGAGTGGATGTGTTCAGTTCAAATCATATATCGTGTAACTACACTCATGAAAGCTCGGTAACAATATTTGACAGCATTTCCCAGCCCCATCCGCCAGGGGGCGTTCCAATTTAAAAAAAAGTGGACATATGGAATAATAAACAACACATTTGTCAACTTTAATAGATAGATAATCTTTATTACAGACTCAAGGTCCAGACCAAAACACAAACAGATAAAAACAAACAAACCTATAATAGAACACAAATGCTTATTCATAAAAGGCTTCTAAAAGTCATTCAGTACCGACATAGCCAGATGTGAGCGCAGTCCCCCACCCGAGCCACTAGAGGCTCTGTGAGCATCGGCTAAGAGTGGGTGCAGATGACCAATGTGAAGGACCTCAGTCAACATTTTAACTTTAAGGTATGTATATCGTTCATTACGTTCAATGTGTCATTTTCTCAACGTGTTTGTGTGTGTGTGCGTGTGAACTTTCGTCCCTCTTCTGAGTTCAGCGCAGTGAATGAGAGAGAAAAAAAGTTAAATTCATCATTGCAGTGATGAGAAGTTTTTTTTATTTTTTTTTATTATTATTATTATTTTTTAATTGAATAGACCTTTTACCCAGTGTAATAATTTCCCCAAAATAAATGCAGGGTAAGTGCATTGGAAACCGTGTGGTTTTAGGGTATTGCTGTGACTTAATTAAGATCTTCCCGAAAGGCCCTGATTAGGGTTGACCCTAAAACCGGAGCCACCAACCATTACTATTCAAGAGTCTTTTATTTCTATCATATAAGAGATAGAATGTGTTACTGTTAAAGTTTCTACGTAGCCTTGTTATACTATGTCAATGTTCATTTTGTTTTTATCTGATTTTTTCACCTGTTGTAGCACTTTGAGGTTTCTTTGAAATGTAAAGTGCTATATAAATAAAGTGTATTATTAATTTATTATTACATTTTGCAAGGTGTAAATATCGAGACTGATATGAGGCCGACATGTAAAGAATGACTTTCATAATGAAATGCTTTGATTTGACAAATACACTTTCTAAACACTCTAAATATACTGTAATAGTGCTATAGAACAAAAGCTATAACGCAGGAACAATTATGTCACGCGTATTAGGCTCTAAGTAAAAGGTACGATTACAAGTAAAAAATAAAATTAAAAAATACATCTAATTTGAGGTATTTTAACTTAAAATCAGTGTCAAGATGTGTACTCTTTTCTTCCCTACACTTGTCATTGGGTTTCAAGTAAACGTATTTTATTTCAAAAGAGACCTCCTCCTACCAACTGGTAAAGTCCCAGTTTACACCTAGTTTTGTCCCAGTTGAGTCCGGGTGTAAACCTGGGCGTGTAATACCTGGAGTATGTGTCAATAACCACCTGTGTTTTTACGTTACAGACATGGAGTGCACACCAGACGAGCGTGTCAGCTTGAGCCCCGAGGATGAGCTCAAGCTTTTTGAGGAGATAGTAGTGGACAAAATTAAGGCGGAGACAGATGCAATGAAAAAAGGCATGTCAGAGCTCCAAAGTGTGTTGCACAATGGGTTAGGGTTAGGGTTAGGGTTAGGTATAGCGAAGAAACTCAAGATGGCCCTCTGTCAATGGCCCTCATTTACATATGAGCATTTCACGTTTCAGCCAGTAGAGGGAGGCAGGTGGAGAGACAGAACAGGCTATATTTAAAGTCATTTTTAAGTCATGAACTATTATATTTTTATTTACATTAACCTCAGAAAGGAGAGATGCATTGTACCAGGTTGTAGCACTTGTGCTAATTTCCTGGCCTATTGCACATGTTTTTTGGTGGTAGGGGAAACGGGAGTACCCAGAGGAAACCTACGCAGACACGGGGAGAACATGCAAACTCCACACAGAAAGGCCCCGTCCAGGTGGGAATCGAACCTGGGACCTTCTAGCTGTGAAGCAAGAGCACTAACCGCTGCGCTACCGTGCCGCCCATTAGCCCATTAGTAACCCATTAGTTGAGTACATGTGTTCAAATCATATCTAATTTCCTGAACATGAGCTTCAAAGGTCATATTCCTTTTGTTGAAGCATCCTGCTCTTCCACAGCACCGCCACACCGCATTACGGCAGTAACTGAAGCAAATGGGGCCCAAACTAAGTACTATTAAGAAGAAGATCTTTATTTATAAAGCGCCTTTCACAGACATGGTCACAAAGCGCTTTACATGAGAGCATTTTACATTCACTCCTCACTCGGTGGTAAACTACGTTAGTAGCTTCATTTTCCCCTGGGGGAGACTGACAGAAGCGCTGTCGCGCCTGCACACATCTGCACCAACGGTCCCTCTGACCACCTCCATACATTCACACACATCATTCATCCTGGCCTATTGTGCATGTTTTTGGTGGTACACAAAAGTATGCATAATTATAGTATTCAGAGGATCCACATTTCATTGTTTAAAGTCTTTTTTTTTAAATTATTATTATTATTATTATTGATTACATGTAATATTATAATTTTCTGACATTTTCATTTGTTTTGTTTTTTTACAAGCTGTAAGCCCTCACTTTCTCTATAGCAGGTATTAGTTTCTAGGGCTGCAACGATTAATCTATGAAATCGATTAACTCGATTAGTAAAATGCTTTGAATATTATTTTCCCGCTTCGATGATTAGTTTAATTAATATATCTCATTAAAACCGCGTGAAACGGGGCCGCTTACGCGCCCGGAACTTTAAGTGGCGCTTGTTTCCGCACGACCGCTTCTGAAGAGCACAGCTCAGTCTATGGTAGTAAACAACAGCGCGGAGCTAGCTGTGCTAAAACTCTTACCCGGGCAGAACCAGGTACCAGGGCGGAGAACCAGGCCGTCGAAATAATCAAAACACAGCTCAAACAAGAAGGAACTCGAGAGGTGAAGATAGGACGGAGGTTAACGAGGCCAAAGGACACGGCTCTCCCGCTATCCCACCACAATAATGCTATCAACTGCATCAATGATGATTTAACACCAGGACGGGAGAGCTACACATTCATCTACTGTTCAAAGTGTGACATAAGGTAAGGTATGATGGCAAACTTATATCCTTTCCCTCCTCACCAAATGCAGACTTTAACATCCTACTCTATCTACTTCTCCCTTGCTGCAAAGTTTTTTTTCGCTAAATATCTTTGGTAGTGGCTATGCTTACGACTAGGCGTACCTATTATTTATTGGCTATTCTTACTACTTCCGGTAACGCATGCGCGCGCAGTCACTGCAGTTCAGGCAATAATCCTGTGTCCGCATTAGCTCAGATGCTAGAGCGCTCGCTTAGCATAAGCTGCGAGAGGTAGTGGGATCGATGCCCGCATCCTCCAAACTTGTCTCTTTTTATTCTCCACTTTTTTGTTTCAGGCAAGAATCCTGTGTCCGCAAAGGTCCTGTGTCCTAGGTTTAGGTAATAATCCTGTGTCCGCAAAGGTCCTGTGTCCTAGGTTTAGGTAATAATCCTGTGTCCGCAAAGGTCCTGTGTCCTAGGTTTAGGCAAGAATCCTGTGTCCGCAAAGGTCCTGTGTCCTAGGTTTAGGCAAGAATCCTGTGTCCGCAAAGGTCCTGTGTCCTAGGTTTAGGCAAGAATCCTGTGTCCGCAAAGGTCCTGTGTCCTAGGTTTAGGCAAGAATCCTGTGTCCGCAAAGGTCCTGTGTCCTAGGTTTAGGTAATAATCCTGTGTCCGCAAAGGTCCTGTGTCCTAGGTTTAGGCAAGAATCCTGTGTCCGCAAAGGTCCTGTGTCCTAGGTTTAGGCAAGAATCCTGTGTCCGCAAAGGTCCTGTGTCCTAGGTTTAGTCAAGAATCCTGTGTCCGCAAAGGTCCTGTGTCCTAGGTTTAGGTAAGAATCCTGTGTCCGCAAAGGTCCTGTGTCCTAGGTTTAGGCAAGAATCCTGTGTCCGCAAAGGTCCTGTGTCCTAGGTTTAGGCAAGAATCCTGTGTCCGCAAAGGTCCTGTGTCCTAGGTTTAGGTAATAATCCTGTGTCCGCAAAGATCCTGTGTCCTAGGTTTAGTCAAGAATCCTGTGTCCGCAAAGGTCCTGTGTCCTAGGTTTAGGCAAGAATCCTGTGTCCGCAAAGGTCCTGTGTCCTAGGTTTAGGCAAGAATCCTGTGTCCGCAAAGGTCCTGTGTCCTAGGTTTAGGCAAGAATCCTGTGTCCGCAAAGGTCCTGTGTCCTAGGTTTAGGTAAGAATCCTGTGTCCGCAAAGGTCCTGTGTCCTAGGTTTAGGCAAGAATCCTGTGTCCGCAAAGGTCCTGTGTCCTAGGTTTAGGCAAGAATCCTGTGTCCGCAAAGGTCCTGTGTCCTAGGTTTAGTCAAGAATCCTGTGTCCGCAAAGGTCCTGTGTCCTAGGTTTAGGTAAGAATCCTGTGTCCGCAAAGGTCCTGTGTCCTAGGTTTAGGCAAGAATCCTGTGTCCGCAAAGGTCCTGTGTCCTAGGTTTAGGCAAGAATCCTGTGTCCGCAAAGGTCCTGTGTCCTAGGTTTAGGTAATAATCCTGTGTCCGCAAAGATCCTGTGTCCTAGGTTTAGTCAAGAATCCTGTGTCCGCAAAGGTCCTGTGTCCTAGGTTTAGGCAAGAATCCTGTGTCCGCAAAGGTCCTGTGTCCTAGGTTTAGTCAAGAATCCTGTGTCCGCAAAGGTCCTGTGTCCTAGGTTTAGGCAAGAATCCTGTGTCCGCAAAGGTCCTGTGTCCTAGGTTTAGGTAAGAATCCTGTGTCCGCAAAGGTCCTGTGTCCTAGGTTTAGGCAAGAATCCTGTGTCCGCAAAGGTCCTGTGTCCTAGGTTTAGGCAAGAATCCTGTGTCCGCAAAGGTCCTGTGTCCTAGGTTTAGGCAAGAATCCTGTGTCCGCAAAGGTCCTGTGTCCTAGGTTTAGGCAAGAATCCTGTGTCCGCAAAGGTCCTGTGTCCTAGGTTTAGGCAAGAATCCTGTGTCCGCAAAGGTCCTGTGTCCTAGGTTTAGGCAAGAATCCTGTGTCCGCAAAGGTCCTGTGTCCTTAGGGTTAGGAAAAGGACTTGGTAGAGGTTAGTTATTATAGAAAAGTATGTTGTAAGAATAGCCTATAAATAATCGGTACGACTAGACGTAAGCATAGCCACGGCCATAATGAAAAGGTGTATGTGTCGTTCTTTAGTGGGATGAAAATGCCTGATCTATTAAAAAAACAAATTCCTCTGTACTTCAAAGTTCTGCCAAATTGTCCCACTGGTCTCTGTTTAAACTATTTGAGGTGGTCACACTATTTCAAAAGCAAAATAAACTCCAACACAGTCATACTGTTTCACCTGTACTTGAAAGTTTATCATATCCATCCTTTCATTGCTCACAACAAATACATGTATGAACCATTCAAACTGACACATTATTCCCTGCTCTATGGCAATACTATGACAAAAATAATTCAAATGTTTTCCCTCTTTTAGGAAACCCCTCTGGTTGAGATCCTGGGAAAGAAATTAATCACCTGAGCTTCAGCAGAAGATTTCAAGATTATGTCTCCAGTCAGGACCTACTTCACTTGAATAGGAGTAAAAGTACTGATATAAAAGACTATGAAGCTGCTCTCTCTCCTCATCATAGCGCCTGTCCAAACTTGAACAAAAGAACGTTTCCTTTACCGAGTCGACCCACTCCTCTCCGTCACAGGAAATGGATGAGCCGATGCCACCACCAGAACCAGAGCCCGAGGTCTTGGCAGCGATACTTCCGTTTTTTCCACGTCAGATTAGCCGCCACGAAAGACTGAGTGGTCAGCAACTGGCATACTTCCTCTACCAGTGTGAGCGGATGAGAATAACCAGTTGAGTGACCCATTGACATCAAGCCTTTAATGACATGTAAATCACACAATCTCACCTGTAATGTTTGTTTTATTTTGCAGACGCAAAAGATGTTCAGTTCAGTTTATTACAAATATACAGTAAAAAACATTTTAACATCCATTTATAGATGACCCTAACCCTAACCCTAACCCTTTTCCATTTAACCCTAACCCTAACCCTACACCCTTGAAGCAACATTTAGCTTATATATGGGGCCCAAGACAATACACAATATTAAGAACACAAACATACATTAGTAACCTATACATATTACCCTAGATACCTATTCTATTACCTACTAACTAACCTTACCTGCTCTAATTAAAACTGCCTTACCTTACTTTTATTAGCTTAGAGTTTCATCAATTTACTTAAAAGGTACGAATTATTATTATTATTATTTATTTTTATTTTTATTTTTTTTGCTTACACACATTACATATTACGATCAAACATAAATACATAAGTCTTGTTAGAGGTCATCAGCTAGGGTTTATTATACTTTTCTAGAAGCTCAATTTTTAGTTTATTTTTAAAAATAGCCAGAGATCTTACGGTTTTAATGTTAATGTTCAGCTCGTTCCAAACTTGTGGGCCTTTACACGCCACACTAAAGCTTGTACACTTGAGTGTTCTAATTTTTCCCTGTAAAAGGGTTTTATGTCTTGTATTGTAATCATGAGCAGGTGTAGAGATTGGGATGAGCTGAGCCAGTCTGTCCTTAGGTCTAAACACTACGTTATACATTATACATGCATTTTGGAAGAGGCTGCACTCAGTAAGTTTCAGAAGCTTATATTTATAGAATAAGTGATCAGTGGGGCTGTTAAACTTGGCCCAAGAAATGGCTCGAATGGCTTTCTTTTGAAGAGCTTGTAATTTCAAAAGATAGCTGGGGAATGTGTTGCACCAGATCACGTTGCAGTAATTTAGATGGGGTTCAAAAAGGGATCGGTACAAAATCAAAAGGGCCTCAAGGGGAAGGAAATGTCTCAATTTATAAAATAAGCCGACATATTTGGATAATTTTTTAACAAGATGATCAATATGTTTTTTGAAATTCAGGTGTTCATCAATTTGAATTCCAAGAAATGTAATACAGTTTAGTCTTTCAATATTTATACTGTTTATTGAGATATGTATATTTTCAAGATTTTTCCTGTTTCTATTAGAGCGAAATACAATAAATTTGGTTTTATTTATGTTTAATGTTAATTTATTACAATTGAACCAGGTGTCTACTTTTCTTAATTCATCATTTATAGTGTTTTGTAGACGTTTTGGGTCTTTGTGGGATAAAAATAGGTTTGTATCATCAGCAAAGATTACATTATGGAGGATTTGAGATGAATTTGGAAAGTCATTTACATAAATAATGAATAGTAGCGGGCCTAGGACTGAGCCCTGTGGGACCCCACATTTAATGGTTTTACGGTGTGAAGTCTGATTATTAGAGTACACATATTGCTCCCTTTCATTTAAGTAGCTGCTGAACCAACTGAGTGCTAAACCTCTGACACCATAATGTTTCAATTTGCCAAGGAGTATGTTAAAATCAATAGTATCAAACGCTTTCGATAAGTCAAGGAAGACACCGATGCCACACTCACCTTTATCGATAGCGTCGTTGATTTTTTCTACCAGATCCAGAATTGCCATTCAAGTGGTGCTCTTTTCTCTGAAGCCATATTGTGATGTTGTGAGAATATTTTGTTTATTTAAGTAGTCAATTAACCTCTTATAGACAACTTTTTCGAATATTTTAGATAGTGTTGGTAAAATAGATATTGGTCGGTAGTTTTTAATATCATTTTTGTCACCAGATTTGAATATTGGGAGAATTTTGGAAATTTTAGTCATTTTTGGGACCACTCCACATTGAAGGGAGAGGTTAAGGCAGTAAGTTAGAGGGTCGACAATTTCATGGATTATGAATTTCTAACCCTAACCCTAACCCTAACCCTAACCCTGTGTTGGAGCTTTTCATGGTCAAAATTAAATTAGTGATTTCATATTTGTCAGTTGGTGAGAGATAGAAAGAGCCCGGATAGTTGCCTTTTAGATACTGTTTGTAATTGGCTCCCTCTTTTGGACTTATATTATTGGATAAGGTTTCACCTATTGAGTTAAAATACTCATTGAAACAGTTAGCAAGATTGTTGTCAGTGGAGCCATTGGCTGCATTCATTATGGTGTCAGGTAATGTATTTGTTTTTTGACCCCGGTTTAGGACCTCATTAAGTACTTTCCAGCACTGCTTCTGATCGCCACGAGAAGCCTTTAACTGCTCAGAATAGTACATTTGTTTGCTTTTACGAATAATTTTTGTCAATTTATTCTTATATGTAATATATTTCATTTTATTCGCTTCAGTTTCTCCGTTTTTGAAATGGCGGTACAAAGTATTTTTTTTTTTATTGATTTCAAGATTCCTTGTGTAAGCCATTTTTTCCCATCCTCCACTTTTCTTTTTAGAATTTTTTCAGGTATACATAGATTTATGCTTTCCATTATTTCATGGATCAGGGCATTATATGCTCCATCTGGACATTTGCAGTAATAGACAGAATTCCATGAATGGTTTCTTAGATATTCAGATAATTTACGTAAATTATTTTCATTGAACACTTTTATTTTAGTTTCTATTACAGAGTCATTTAGTTGTATTTCCAGGTCAGCAAGAAGTGCAACGGGAAAATGGTCAGTAATATCTGATAAAATTACACCTGAGTTAAGTCTAGTATTGTGAATATTAGTGATGATATTATCAATGATTGATTTGGATGCATCTTTTATGCGTGTATATATATTGATTGTTGGGAAGAAGGATGAGGAGGACAGGCAGTTTAAGAAATCATTTTTCATAATGCTTTCCGTGGCTAGATTTACATTAAAGTCCCCTAGAATAAAGCAAGGTTTACAGGATTGATTTATTATATTTAGTAACTCATCCAAATTAGTTAAGAATTTGTTTACCTCGGAATCTGGGGGACGATAAATCACTCCTACTATTATGTTTTTCCCATTCTTGACTTTGATTTCAACAAATAGGGAATCCGAGTGAGCATCCTTTATGCACAAATCATTTCGAACGGTCACAGAGTGGAGTTTGTTTACATATAAGCACACGCCACCACCAGATCTACTAGTCCTGTTTTTATTATACAGTACATAACCCTTGAGATTTAGGGTATCTAGGCAAGTCTTTTTATTGAGCCATGTTTCACTGCACCCTATAAAATCAAACTTGTAGTCCAGGCTAGTCAGCAGGGATATCAGATCATCGTGGTGCTTGTTTAGGCTTCTCGTATTTAGATGTAGAAAAGATAAGGGATGCTTATTTTTATTTGTAATATATTTAAAATGTTCTGGTGTAATTTGTTTGCAATCAATCGTTTCGAAGGAGTGCTGTTTCAGTACTTCATCATTGGTATCATTAAAAACCATTCATTATGAGTGATACATATTAGGGAACCAATGTGTGTAGCAAATAGTGGTACCATATTGAGATTACCGGTAAGCATTTGGTAAGACTAAGGCCTAAATCTGAACCTGAACCTAAACTAACCTAAACAAATGAAATTCACCAAACAAAAGCAAAAAGAAAAGATAGATGGGAAGGATAAGGAAAGGAGTCAAACAAGATATGTGAAGACAAACAAAAAATCCCTTTGGAGGATCAGGCCGACTTTAACTGTTTCTAAAAATTATGAGTCATATGATCCATGGTTAGTACTCACAGATTTAGGTAAAAATAGGCACTTTATCCAATGTCAACGAATCCGTAGCTTATTAAGGTCAGATAGTTTGTTTAACACGTGGCGTTGGTTTGCATTTGTGAGTAGGTAAAGGCGACCATCCTGTGTCCAGCTTGCAGCCAGCTTGTCCTTGTAGCTTTTGCGCAAATCATCCAGTAGTTTTGCGCGTTTAGCTGTTAAGCTTTCCAGGATGTGCATCTTTGGAGTTACACCCTTCAGTTGTTTTTTCGTCCGGTAGACTTTGTCTCTGAGGTTATAGTGGGCAAATTTGATGATAATCCCCCGTGGTTTGACCCGCGTGGTGGATTTAGGACCGAGGCGATGGGTCCTGTCAACATCACCAGGTTGCACCGCTATGTTGAGATTGTTTTTCAAGACATTCATGACGACTTTGTTTACATTTTCATGATCATTTTCCGGGACACCAAAAAGAACAAGACAGTTCCGCCTCGAATACTGTTCTTGCTCATCTAGCGAGTCCTCGATGTCATTATACTTGTCCCTTAGTTCATTCATTGAGTCAGTCATGTTTTGCAGCTCATACTTAAGAGAGTTTCTTACAGAGTCCGTAATGGATTCAGTAAGAGCCCGTTTAATCGGTTCAATGAGGGAGTCCACCAGTGTCTGCGTGATTTTCCGTATGAAATCATTATCTTGGAAAAGTGCGTCCATTTGTTTGCTTACTGTGTTTTGGATGTCATCCGTTGTAAGCGCATCTCCAGGCATGATGAGTGTGCACCAAACAGGCCACTGTATTATCCACAGCAGAGGCAAACAGTTAGGAGATCATAGTTTAATCATATTTTTTTAGTCGGCCATTCCAAACGGCGTTCAGCTACACACGTCTCGTGTTGATGACATCACATCCTGCTCTCACTGCTGTGTGTCACTGCTAAAAGTGTGCAAATCAATAACCAGGCCATTGAAGACAAGATTTGGCCCAAAGGAAAGAAGAGCGACAGTGAATAGAGCTTTGCCACAAAAGTTTAAAGTTCGAGTTCCGCCTGTTTCATAAATTCAAACTGGAGTCATATGTCATCGTATTAGAACTAATGTAGAGCTTTATTACAGAGTAAAGTCTAAGAAGCAGATCCCATGTCGCCAGTTGAGGACCTGATTAATCATAACCAAAGGACTGCTGTAGGTGAGTACAGTATAGGTGTTTTGTTTTATTTTATATATATATATTTTTTTTGTACAGGTTGCGATAGCAGATTTTTCCAAAGTTAAGTTTGTGTTTAGACATGTGTGGTTTATATTGTTTGCTCACGAGTTAACATGTATTGTTTTTTTGTAAAAATTGATCATTTACTATAAGTCAAGTGTAAGACACAGATGTCATCCAACTCAATTTTTCTTAAGGGGAGGTGATCCGACATTTAGATTTTCGAAGCAAACGTCACAGTTTGACTGTGCCTTAAAAGCCACTAGGAAAATAATAATGAAGGCATGTCTGGTGTTCGTCTGCCGTCAGTGGTTGGTGACGCAGACTGATGCAGAGTTCAAGTGTTTGGCTCGCCTTCCCCATCTTTATGGCAACTTTGTAGCCGAGCAGTAGGTGAGTGTTTTTACAATCTAGCTGCCTTATACAAATGCATCCAAATTTAACCAATACATAGTGTCTCTCGCATACCATGTGATCCCTATGTTTCTTTGTCTGTAGATGAGAAGAAATGCATGTGGCAGAGAGCTCCACCTGCAGCTAGAAACGGTGGAGCCCCACCCCTGCCTGAAAGAGGTAAACGGGTGAGATCCGCGCAGTGTGTCCGGGGATCAACTCGACTGGTCAAAACAGCCTAGAGCTACTGGACAGTAAACAAAAGATGCCCAAAGCTGAAATCAGCTGTTCAAAAGTGTCTCCTCAGTCATTTTGTAAACACGTTTCATTCTCTGTTCATCAAAACATCTGACAATTAAGCAGCAGCATAACTTTTGAGAACAGGAAACCTAGCCTAGACTGTGGCCTAATAATATGTAATGAAATAATTATGGTCATTATAAAGAAGTAAAGTTGACATTGTTTTGTATTATTCAATGTAGGCCTATTTATTTTAATGCAAAACAATCTTAAAGCATTTTTAATTTTTAGAAACAGTGAATGTTTACAAGTATTAAAAAGCTTTTTAAAGACAAAAACTAATATCAGTTCTTTCCTTTCATTCGGTCGATAATCGTGAATAAAATCGCAATATTTTCTTTCACAATAATCGTGACTCAAAAAATTGAAATCGTGACACCCCTAGTACCAACCGTGTTACAATATTATGAGATAGAAAAAACAATATAATCAAAATCACACAATGTGCATAAGGTGGGGAAGTGTAGCTCCAACTGCACATGTGGGCATGAACTGATCTGGCAACTGGCTAGGTTATGTTTTAGAGAGTTATTATTATTTAAAAAAAAGTGCCTAATAGGCTTTTTGTGCACTGGCAACAGGTCAGTCCATACAACCTGATATTCAGGGCCCACTGCACCAGCAGAAGCCATTTACTTTGATTAATAGCGTTTACACGTAATGTATGTACATTGCAAATTTATCTGTAGGAGACCCCAGGCTGCCAAATTCACTATCCCAGCCCACCCAATTGTGCAAAATGAATATTAATTTTATTGACTTGCAGTTAAATATATCCTAATAGTCCCCCTTGCCGTAAACCAAAGCTCACCTCTATTTTTTCTGTCCTGTCCGTCCATGGGAGTGGATCTCTCCAACGCTGTGGTTCTCCCCGAGGTTTCTTGTTTTTCCCACTGGGTTTTTGAGTTTTTCTTTGCCGTGTTGGAGGGTCTAAGGACAGGGGACACTCACGCCACTCGTCGCCACCCACTGCTGACGCTTATTTGGACATTATGTTTGCCTGGATACTTGATTTAAATGTTATCTGTAAAGCACTTTGTGATACCTTTGGTGTGAAAAGCGCTCTATAAATAAATTTGATTTGATTTGATTTTCTCCTAAATAAATTGCCAGGGAGATAACCTCAGAGCAGTCCAGACAATATAGATCTGCACACCAGCAGTTTCCAAAGTAGAAAAAAAACATAAACATCCTACTTAAGTTGTACACTTATCATATAGGAAAAAAAGACTGAAAACTACAATCCATGTAGGAGTACTCTTAAAGTGCAAATCATGCAATGTAAACACAGAAAGGCAGAACATTCTCTCCCCCAAATAATCAGGATCCTCCGACTAGCACCTCGGAGAGCTCCTCTGGCCTGAAGGCCCCCACAGCGTGTCTCCTGTACAATCAAGACACACGCTTTCCTTAGGGTTAGAGTAAATGACACAAAACCACTATCCTTAAGTTCAGGCTTTCCAGCTGTGTCTCATAAGCCCTACATATTCAAGATGTGTCTGTCCTGGAAGGGACACATGCAATTAAAGTATCTTGTAACAGTACACATGTAGGCTGCTACTCGAGCAACTTGCAAATCACTATTCAGAAATCTAATGAATAGTATTACACAATAACAAACGAAATCCAACTTTGGAAATAACTTTTATTTATAAAAAGGAAAGTCAAAAAAGTGAAATCACATGTATGTCACAGTGAAGGTTTGGTGGTTTGACCATCATCAGCCAAAAGGCTGCCAGCAATAAGGGTGGTTAAACAGTGACATCTAGTGGACAGTGAGCTGTATACCAAACTCAGGATCACAGCTAAAGTGGGTTTTGGCCAAACAGAGTTGTTTTTCCTTCTCGTGGGAGTGGCTAATTTAGCGTTAGCTGGTGTGATTGCAGAGGCATTTCTATCTAATCGAGTCGGCCATAGCATCAACCAGGCGTGAACAAAGCTCAGCAACAGATGTACGTGGTAAATTTTTAAATCTAATTCTGTCTTATATCGTTCATTTATTTCCCTGCAAAATTCAACTGGAGTGTGTTAATCATGTTGATCATGTGTAATGTCTTAGTTGTTAATTATACTGGTTTAGAGTTATAAATGAAAAATAGCAGTCACTTTCAGCACAAGTGCTTGGTAATTAGCTACCATATTCCATCAGAATTGAAGGGAAAAAAGGTTGGTTGATTGGTTGATTGAGTGAAGGGTTAGGGTTAGGGTTAACCCTTCACTTAATCAATCAAGTTTTATTTCTAAAGCGCCTTACAACAACCAAAGTTGACCAAAGCACTGCACGCAATAAAAAAAATACAATATAAATACAATAAATAAATACAATTCACCAACACACACACACACACACACACACACATATATATATATATATATATATATATATACATATACATACATACTTTGCGGTCACACCTTTCCCAAAACGGCACCATACCAGTAGTGTAATAGCACTGTCATTAGGGGCTAAGCTTGGGGTTTATACTTGAGAAACAACTATCTACAATTCTGTGTGACTCCAGGGCAGAGAACAGCAACTATGAACCCACTGCGGTCGATGGCACCGGGGCAGAGAACCTGGACATTTTACCTGGAGCACAAGAGCAGATGCTCAAGATTGCAAAAAGAATGGCTGGAAGTGAGACTGTCACCACCAAAGAGATGACTATGTTCAGACGGTATTGCGTGGCTCTGCTGCTGCATGATTGTGGCCTTAGCTCTGCAGCCGTTTCACAACTAACTGTAAGTTTTATAGTATAGCAAAGAAAATGCCATAACACATACAACGAACTGATTCAGAATGAACACGTTCCAGGGAAAAAAACAGACTTGGTCCATTTTAAAAACGATGTTTTTAACTAACTATGTTCTTGCTCAAATAATACTACAGAAAACCGCATTGTATTTTTACTCAAACACAAGTCAAGACAAGTGTGATAAGTCCAATTCCCAATTTGGGGAACATGACCATTACATCTGTTGTGAATAGTCAAACTGCGTTAAACATACACTGCAACATGCATAAAAGTGCAATTATTAATTGACAATTAATGCTGTCCATTCATTTCAGGTGCAGGACTGGCAGAACCGGGCAGATGACGGGCAGGGTGGAGTTGACCTTAGAACTGGGGGAGCGACATACCACGTAACGGCATCCACGGAAATGGCAAGGTTTTTTTGCTGCCCGCTGGGACAAAGCAGCACTTATCATTCACTGTACCACTGGATATTGTGGACAACAGACTGAACATTTGAAGTGCAAGGCTATTGAGAAAACAAATATTGTGTTATATTTCAGATGCTGAACGAGTATTATATGTGGGCCAGACCCAGGTTCCTTGAAACGGGTGGGAAAAATACACAAACCTTTCTTGTGGGACAAGATGCGATACCCTTGTATAATCCCTTGGCCGACGTCTATCGTCTTAAAGAAGAGTGAGTTTGCATGTCTTCTTCGCCTGTGGCTACTCAGGTTTCCCCCATCCACCAAAAACATACACGCTAGTTTAATCCTCCAGACAGGTGTTTCTGACCAATCACTTGGCTTCATATCTGGAGACGAGTCCGCAGGCGCAATGTCCGTCTCCACTATTCATTCCCAACGTGTTACGCCTTGCCCATGTACCACCCTGTGAGTGAACATGTAAGCGGTAGATGATGACTGTAGTTTAAGAATAGGTGGGGTGTTATGACATCATTTCAGAGGGAGGGCAGGAGCCTTTATAACTCTATGGGAGAGGTCATTTTTGGAATAATTGGGATAATTTTTCTTTACTTTTCTGTTTGTTTACAGGCACTTTATGGCCGGGGCATGTGGGAGGGAATCGCCCATTGACAACATTCACCAAGCGGGACACGACCCCAATGAACCCGTCGCGTTGGTGCAAGACAGGTCAGCGAAGGGAGCACTCGGGTTTGAATATCTGTCAACACGTGTATGTCTTTGCTGCTTTTACAGTCGTAAAGAGGTGGATGTGCTGCAGGCAGCCATTCCTGACATGTTGTGTATAGAGGACAAAGTGAAGGAGAATAAATCACTTTCCAACCGTGAGACCACAGACTACAGGCGGTACTGTCAGGTGCTATTGATGAGACGTTACCATTTCAGCTCCAAAGCAATATCTGATTTGACTGTAAGTATCTATTTGTGTGCATTTTGTTACGCTGTTTACCAGTGTGTGTGTGTGTGTGTGTGTGTGTGTGTGAAATTGACACTGAGTGACATGAACGTTTCAAGTTTCATTTGCAACGGTGCTTTTCCTTTTTTACTGTGGAAAATGAGACGCGGTGGCTAGTGTGGACACTATTGTTAACGCATTCTCTGAATACGTGACAGGTGCAGAGCTGGCTCGAGCGGGTACCGGACTCAGACGGCGCAGTAGTTCATCTCTCAACAGGGGGTTCTACCTACGGGCTGAGCCCATCTGCGGAACAGGCAGGTTGAAACACTTTCCCTGACAATGAAAAAAGCCTATCCGGGCAACCTGTGTAATTTTGACCATCTGACAGATGTTGGAAATCTATTTCCGAAATGTGAGGCCGACCTTTGCGCAGAGGGAGACGTCAGGCAAGGACGTATGTAAGGCATTCTTCCTGGCGAATGGCGGAGAAGCGCTGAGTAACGCAGCGGTCGACGTGCGGCGTTTTGAAGAAAGGTTAGTGTCAAAATTTGAAATGAATCAATTTTCATTTAATTTTTTGTCAATTGATATGTCACAGAAACTTGCCACAAATGACCAATAAATAAACACCCTCTGTGTTTCGTCAAGGTACACAGCCAGAGAGGGTACCACCACCAGTCCAGCGACTCAGTCCATCATCCGCTGGAATGACTTCCTCTGTGCCTTCCCAATCACTCCTGACGCACAGGCGCCCACAAAGGCAGCCTGCGAGAAAGCCGGGTTTAGCAACTTTAGGCCTTTTTACAAGAAGTGGCGAGCTGAGCAGCTACAGATGCGGGAGAAGTACATTTTAGGTAAATACCATGCGTGAGTCTTCAGTGCTTTACGTGTATGTGTGTGTGTGTGTAGAGTAACATTTTTTTCCTTCTATTTACCCGCAGCTCAAGCACAGAACAGAGCCCGTACTGAACCAAATACATCGACTGTGCAACACAAGATTGACAGTGAGAAGTGGGTGACCAATGTACCAACCACTGGCAATGTGCTTAAGGCCTGGGCTCCACCCCAAGACACAGAGGTGGACATTCAGCTGATGGTCAGCAGGGTTATGGAGCAGAGCTGGACTGGTCTAGCCATCGTGCAGTTTGAAGAGGAAAAGGGAAAAGGTATTGGTATTGCTTCCACAGAGTTTTTATGACCACCAATAAGTTTGTCTAATCTTCTCTGTTTTCTAAATCCCTAGGCGTAGTCACCGAGTTGCCCCGGCGAAAAAATGATGTCATTTGTGATTATCATGGACTGAATATGCCTTCCTCGCAGGGGAAAAAACTCCTTCAGTCTGGATACGTTTTATTTTTTAAAGACTCTGCAGGCAAAAGCCTTTGTGTGGACGCCACACAGTTTCCCTGCAGCTGCCACCCCACACTGGACACCTACGGAAGGCGCCTGAACCACTCACGTAAAAAACCCAACGTGGCTCCAAAGGTTCACAACCTGAATCTTGCAAACCTTGGGAAATGTGCAGTAATCCTCTTTCATGCTCTTCGAGATATCGAGGCTGGGGAAGAGCTTTTGTGGGACTATGGGGTGGACAGAAAGTCTTTTTGCGGAGAGGGCAGGGATCTCACTTGGCTCGACAATTGAGCCACCACCAATTAGGGTTGGCGATGTTTTGGGGAACTTCCAAACGAGATGCTGTGAGCGTTCAATAAATGTTCCATAACTTCTATAGTTGTGTGTGTGTGTCTGGGGGGAGGGGATTAAAGTTGGTGTCCTTCATTACAACTGCAGAAGGTTTAGCCAAGCTGAAACATTATAAACCGGATCAAATACTGGACTGCAGTTACCAATCATGGCCATTTGATTGATACCATATTAATTGCCAACATATTTAAATCTCTTCCTGCCTATAAAATCCCCAACACATGAGTCCATTTTCATGACTGTGTCATAAAGTATGCGGGTTTACCTTAAGTATCCGTCTTAAAACGCACAATGGACAGCATATTTCACCATGAATTCAAAAGTCATATTTCTTTGTATTGATTTCATGTCATATTCCAATTTCCTGACATTTGTGGGTTTTCACAAGCTGTAAGCCCTACTTTACAGAATTACATTGTTTTACATGTTCTGCCTGTGGTGTGCCTCGTGGTGTTTTCAATGAAAAAAAAAATGTGCCTTGGCTCCAAAAAGGTTGAAAAACAATGACGTGTGTTCAGTTCAAATCATATATCCGTGTAACTACACTCATGAAAGCTCAGTAACAATATTTGACAGCATTTCCCAGCCCCATCCGCCAGGGGGCGTTCCAATTTAAAAAAAAGTGGACATATGGAATAATAAACAACACATTTGTCGACTTTAATAGATAGATCATCTTTATTACAGACTCAAGGTCCAGACCAAAACACAAACAGATAAAAACAAACAAACCTATAATAGAACACAAATGCTTATTCATAAAAGGCTTCTAAAAGTCATTCAGTACCGACATAGCCAGATGTGAGCGCAGTCCCCCACCCGAGCCACTAGAGGCTCTGTGAGCATCGGCTAAGAGTGGGTGCAGATGACCAATGTGAAGGACCTCAGTCAACATTTTAACTTTAAGGTATGTATATCGTTCATTACGTTCAATGTGTCATTTTCTCAACGTGTTTGTGTGTGTGTGCGTGTGAACTTTCGTCCCTCTTCTGAGTTCAGCGCAGTGATGAGAAGTTTTTTTTATTTTTTTATTATTATTATTATTATTTTTTAATTGAATAGACCTTTTTAATTGAATACCCAGTGTAATAATTTCCCCAAAATAAATGCAGGGTAGGTGCATTGGAAACCGTGTGGTTTTAGGGTATTGCTGTGACTTAATTAAGATCTTCCCGAAAGGCCCTGATTAGGGTTGACCCTAAAACCGGAGCCACCAACCATTACTATTCAAGAGTCTTTTATTTCTATCATATAAGAGATAGAATGTGTTACTGTTAAAGTTTCTACGTAGCCTTGTTATACTATGTCAATGTTCATTTTGTTTTTATCTGATTTTTTCACCTGTTGTAGCACTTTGAGGTTTCTTTGAAATGTAAAGTGCTATATAAATAAAATGTATTATTAATTTATTATTACATTTTGCAAGGTGTAAATATCGAGACTGATATGAGGCCGACATGTAAAGAATGACTTTCATAATGAAATGCTTTGATTTGACAAATACACTTTCTAAACACTCTAAATATACTGTAATAGTGCTATAGAACAAAAGCTATAACGCAGGAACAATTATGTCACGCGTATTAGGCTCTAAGTAAAAGGTACGATTACAAGTAAAAAATAAAATAAAAAAATACATCTAATTTGAGGTATTTTAACTTAAAATCAGTGTCAAGATGTGTACTCTTTTCTTCCCTACACTTGTCAATGGGTTTCAAGTAAACGTATTTTATTTCAAAAGGGACCTCCTCCTACCAACTGGTAAAGTCCCAGTTTACACCTAGTTTTGTCCCAGTTGAGTCCGGGTGTAAACCTGGGCGTGTAATACCTGGAGTATGTGTCAATAACCACCTGTGTTTTTACGTTACAGACATGGAGTGCACACCAGACGAGCGTGTCGGCTTGAGCCCCGAGGATGAGCTCAAGCTTTTTGAGGAGATAGTAGTGGACAAAATTAAGGCGGAGACAGATGCAATGAAAAAAGGCATGTCAGAGCTCCAAAGTGTGTTGCACAATGGCCTTGACGGGTGGAGGAGAGAACAGCAAGGCTTCATGGAAGGCTTCTACCACGAGTGTTCCCAAAAATTATCCGCAGAGTTGGACAGCGCCATGGACCGAAATTCCCGCCGTCTGGATGCCATTGAGAAACGACTGCAAAATCTGGAGGAAAACATCACTGGGCGCCTGTCCAAACTTGAACAAAAGAACGTTTCCTTTACAGAGTCGACCCACTCCTCTCCGTCACGCGGTCTGGAGCACCAGGGAGACCTGTATGACGTCATCGCAGCGGCCTCAGGTGTCTTTGACGCACCCCCCCCAGCTCAAGGCGGAGATGTAGAGCCTGTGGAAACGCCACAGGAAATGGATGCACCGTTGCCACCACCAGAACCAGAACCCGAGGTCTTGGCGGCTATACGTCCGTTTCTTCCACGTCAGATTAGCCGCCACGAAAGACTGAGTGGTCAGCAAATGGCATACTTCCTCTACCAGTGTGAGCGGATGAGAATAACCAGTTGAGTGACCCATTGACATCAAGCCTTTAATGACATGTAAATCACACAATCTCACCGGTAATGTTTGTTTTATTTTGCAGACGCAAAAGATGTCACTGCTAAAAGGGTTAGGGTTAGGGTTAGGGTTAGGGTTAGAGGGTTAGGGTTAGGGTTAGGGTTAGGGTTAGGTTTATGTATGTGTTCACGTCTCCAACGTGTGGAGACGGGAGGTGTACAGGCCCTATCTCTCCGTCCAGGTTGGGCGGTGTAGCTGGCGCTCCAGGTATAGTGGTGAGGGGGAGTGGGCTCTTCCCGGTGACTCTGGGTGTGTGTACGTCTGTAATGATGTGGACGTCCCCTCTCTCTCTCTGGGACTCTAGTCCACTCATTGTTGGGCCGTCTACGGGGGCCGCGTTCCCATGGGGAACCCCTTCTCTCTCTCCCATACTCATCCTGATGGTTATTGACCTCCCGCAGACTGTGGCCCCTCCGACCGTACGTGGGCCAATCCCGTTGGGAGTGGGTCCACTGTGGACTGGCTGCGGGTGTATGGTGAGTAGGGAGTCCAGGTGTATTCTGGCATTTTTTGTTGGATTTTTAGTTTTTTGTATTTTTGACATCCAAAAGCATCCATTTTTATTCTCTCAGCATTTTTATTCTCAAAAGAATTATGGCTTTACTATTATTTCGTTTTATTATTATTTGCGACACCGGAAGAGAGAAGAGACCTCGCGGAAGGGGGGCTACAGACGCGGGGGTGGGACTCCCCTGGTCCCGGGGTACCCGCGGTGTGAATTTGACGCGCGAGGGATAAAGGACCACCGGGGAACCGCGCGTCTGCCATCCGCCCAAGAGCGCTCATTTTGGGGGAGGAGAAGCTCGGCTTCCAGGGCTTGTCAAAAACGAACCAGGGGTGCTAGAGACACAGGGTTTTCACCCACGCACTCCTCCGGTTCTGGGCTATCACCGGGGAGGGCTTTGCTCCCGCTCAGATCCGGGCCTGAGCGCTCATTCCCAGGGGAAGGAAGCCCCGCTTTCCGGGCTCCTCAAAGCCGAGCCAGGGAGGGTAGAGACACACGGGTGGGACCCAGGGACTCCCCTGGTCCCGGGGTACCCGCGGTGTGAATTTGACGTGCGGGGGATAAAGGACCAGAAAGTTATGGCCCTTGGAAACCACCGGGGGACCGCACGCCTCCCATCCGCCCATGAGCGCTCATTTTGGGGGAGGAGAACCTTGGCTTTCAGGGCTCGTAGAAAACGAACCATAAGGGCTAGAGACACGGGGTTTTCACCCACGCACTCCTCCGGTTCTGGGCTATCACCGGGACTGGGAGTCCTCCCGCGCAGACCCGGGCCTGAGCGCTCATTCCCGGGGGAAGGAAGCCCCGCTTTCCGGGCTCCTCAAAGCCGAGCCCAAGGGGGTAGAGACACGGGGGTGGGACCCAAGGACTCCCCTGGTCCCGGGCTACCCGCGGTGTGAATTTGACGCGCGGGGGACAAAGGACAGTAGCTCAGTTGGTAGAGCATTGGCCTTTAGGCCTGAAGGTCGTGGGTTCAATTCCCACCTTGACACCTTCTCCACCGACTCCCACTGATGTCTGCTGTTGTTGCTTGGCAGACTCTTAAACTTGCCCTGGACATCAGCAGCTCCTTTGACAGACCACCACTGTGCCAATAGACCCTCCTGCAGAGAGATCACTGTGAAACCCAGGTGTGAGACTTGGAGTGGCATCTCTGACTGCCACCCCCCCAACCCAGAAATGGATTAAGGGGTAGAAAATGGATGGATGGATGGATGGGACAAAGGACCAGAAAGTTATGGCCCTTGGAAACCACCGGGGTGACCGCGCGCCTGCCATCCGCCCAAGAGCGCTCAGTCTGGGGGAGGAGAGGACCGCAGCAGCAGGGTCAGGACGCACGCTGCACCATACCCCCGTGCTTACGGCCATACCACTTTGAGAATGCCCGATCTCATCTGATATCGGAAGCTAGGCAAGGTCGGGCCTGGTTAGTACTTGGATGGGAGACCGCCTGGGAATGACTCATGACCCCCCCAGGAACCTATCCTGCACCAGGTGCTGTAAGCATTTTGCCCCTGGAGCTCGGGCCTGGGGGCGAGCTCAACAACAGCGCGAGTTGTTGTCGTGGAGTTGAGTTGAGTGCAGCTTGCAGTTGTTTCCGTCTCTCACCACTCATCATTTCCGGTAGCATATCAAACAAAATAATGGAAGTCGTTTTAGTAGTGTTTGTTTCCACTGCATAGCAAAGAAATGGGTGAATATTTTATTTAGAATGTTTTGATTTTCCAATTTAATTTAGAAAATGGAAATATAATAAAACAACCACGTAATTTGTTTTTCTGATTTTATTTTGACATGGAATAACTAATGATCGAAGGGTACACAGATTTTACACGGATTCTGAAACCATGTTTCAATATTTTGTTTTTTCATTTTCTGCATCGAAACAAAACATCACATATCAAGCCAATTTTTAGTTTTTACTTTTCCTCATCAAAATGAAAAATGAAATTTCAAGCCATTTTAAGTTATTTCATTTTCAATTTTAACTTGAAAAAAAAAAACACTGAATGAGAAATACCCTCTTGCTACCTGGTTTTGAAAGCAAAAGATACAATTATCTGCAGAATACCAGAGATGATTACAATTCTTATGTAGTCCCCGTACTATTTGTGTGCATTTCCCCTTCAGTTTGTGAAACAGTTCTTGTTTCTTAATGGCCAAGGAAACTACAGACACATAAAAACCATGTATTAACAGACGGCATCTTGTGCAGTGATGTGGTTGCTCTGGGACTGCTATGCACATTCCCACGCTCACCTATGGTCAGGAGCTTTGGGTAACGAAAGAAAGGACGCAGATATGCAGAGAGGTTTATAGGCGGTATGTCATCTCGGGAGGAAAACCCATGGATTTCAAAAATACAAAAAAGTTGATGACAAGGGATACTAAAATTCCCACAAAATCGTCCTTTGTGAAAGCTGTGGGTTCCCTTTCAGCTCTGGACGAGCCATTTAATTGAACACTGAGGTCTATAGGGAAATCACCTTACAGCCATGTACATGTGGATTTAGGCTGCAGTACCGGGGGTGACCTCTAGTCCATGTGGAGACCTGTTTAAGCAGCATTACCCTCTTTATAATATATTAAATCCATGATCTTGGCATTGAGTGGCTGTGTTTTGCTCTATTGCAGATAAGGCCAACGTGGAGCGGAACCCCCCCGTGTGCATACTTCCCCTTGGCACGGGCAACGACCTGGCACGCTGTCTACGCTGGGGAGGAGGTACCCGAACACACCACATTTAGAGCGCTTAGGAAGAGTCACCTTTTTTTTTTGCTCTAGACTTTGCATGTTTGTTTGTCCTGTTATTTAACTTAAGTAAATCTCTGATAAAGACATTATGATTTTTAAATTATACTGTCTCACATGCCCTCAAATACATACATGTGTCGCCTCTTTCCCGCTCAAAGAGCCTGTTCTGGTTTTCTCAAATCACTATGTGACATCACATGCGGTCAGTCAACTTCTCACATAGTCTGTGTGTGTTTCCGCAGGTTACGAGGGGGAAAGCCTGATGAAGAGCCTGCGTGATGTGGAGAACAGTGTGCAGGTGATGTTGGACCGCTGGAAGATCAACGTGACGCCCATAGACAAAGACGAGCGCGAAGACCCCGCCCCCTTCAGCATCATCAACAACTACTTCTCCATCGGAGTGGTACGGCTTACTCTTAGCTTCAGCTAGTATTTCTTTCTTTCGTTCATCTGTGACTTTACAGGGTCTTTTAGCCACATTTAATTATTTATTTTCTTTATTTATTTGACAAGGACAATACAAAAAAAAAAGAGAACAGTGAACACTTTTGGAGAACAGTGAAGAAACAAGTTTTAATAAGAAGGGAGAACAACAACACATTAAATATAATAATAACTGGCCCCATTTGTCCATATTCCATCCAGTTTTAGTGCTCACAATTCTGATCTTCTTTAAGCCACTTTTTCAGTTTTGTGGAGAAAAGTCCAATGTCCGACGTCACAACAATGTTTCTCAGACACAGACCTGGAGTTGTTTTCAGACCCATCCACCCATAAGGAACTTGTGCATCTTCTGTCTAAGAATCAGAATCAGAATTCTTGCATTGCCATGTGAGTAACAGGAAGTCAAAAACTAGGGAATTGCTTTGGCTCTTGGTGCAAACAAGTTAAAGCAGAATAAAAACAAGAAGGCATGCATAAATTACTATATACAAGGGCGACAGTAGCTCAGTTGGTAGAGCGTTGGCCTTTGAGCCAGAAGGTCGTGGGTTTGAGCCCAACTTTCACCATCGACTCCCACTGTCTGCTGTCGTTGTGTCCTTGGGCAAGACACTTAACCTCTGGGAACACCAGCCACAGTGGGGCGGCTGTGGCTGTAAAGTGCCAAACTGCCGTTGTGTCTTTAGGCAAGACACTTCACCCCCATTGCCTAGAATGAGTCTGGTGTGTATGTGAATGGTTGGTGGTGGTCGGAGGGGCCGATGGCACAGACTGGTTGCCTCGCTTCTGTCAGTGTGCCCCAGGGCAGCTGTGGCTACAGTTGTAGTTTATCACCATCGTGTATGGAGTGAAAGAATAATAACATGTGAAGCATCTTTGAGTGTCCAAAATAGCGCTATATAGAAACAATGCATTATTATTATTATTAAGTGCAGTAGGTGCATACAATTCATCGTTAAGAGTGCAGTCTCATATTATCTCATTATTATTCTTATTTTTAGATTGTTACTTTAACGCTATTTTTATTTTTTATTGTGAAATACTTTGCAAGCTACTGTGACAACGCAATTTCCCTTGTGGATCAATAAAGTCTGTCTAAGTCTAAGTCAATAAAGTGACAGGAGCATAAAGTGACGGTCATAAGGGCAGAGTGATGTTTTATGAAGTGAAGTCCAACAGCAGAGGGGAATAAACTGTTCTTAAGGCGGGAGGTTCTGCTCCTGAAGGACCTCCTGTCCAAAAGGAGAGGTTGGAATAGTCCATGCGGGGTGAGAGGGGTCAGCAGAGATACAACCAGCAGGCGATGTACTGGTCCTGCAGCGATGGGAGGCTGCGGCCTGAGCTTCTGTCTCATGACGCGTTCATGCGACCTCGGAAACTCTGCAGTTCCAACTTCCCACTCAGAAAAATGGGAAAGAACGCTGCTCAACTTAGAAACTCGGGCTGAGCCTCGGGCTGAGGTCAATGAGTGTCTGTCCTTGTGACACGTTTCAAGTTGTAATAGGCTGAAAGAATAGTCAAAGTGAGAGGGATGTGTTTTCTATAGCACAACATAATAACATAATTAATGAACATATTTAAGACAAAGATCTATTTAAAATCATAATTAGTGAATTTATGGCACAAAAGTTTTCTATCTATACAATATTTGAATTCACAATAACAATAGAGCACCAAACCACCGATTTAAGCTCAAAATTGTGAGTGTGGCACAAATGCTTTCTGAGCTATAGGACTATACATTTAAATGTAAGTCAATAGAGGCCAGTGTGAGTTGGAGCCAAACTTTGACCACGAGCACTTCCCTATCGGGCTTCATTGAGCAAGTGGCTTAGCACAGTCTATGCTCATGGTTTATAGACTCTCTCTGTCACACTGTTAACCAGAGCGTCTTCAACATCCTGTGACCTACACATTATCTTCGTAGATCGGTTCCTCCCTGTTCTGCGGCCTTGAGGTGTTATTCTGCTCACATTTGTGGGGACATGCATCACTTTGCGCCCGTTGCTCCCCACATTCATGGCAGACGTCGCCGCTGCTGTAGCCCGTGTTGCCTGGAAATGTCAATTATGGCATTTCCCCCTGACATTTGTGCGTAATGGCCAACATGAGGGACGCAGCGTCTGCGTCATTATGTGCAACGCAGAGCTGGGACTTGTTTATTGATTGCACTCTCTTGAGGCACGAGGACATGTCAATAAGCACGTAACACAAATCAGATTAAGGCTGCTGAATGGGTGTATGCAGCATTAACAGGCCTGGTGTCGGGATTTAAAGTTGGGTCACCACAAAAGAAGGAACTATGTAATAAATCTTTCTAACTATCTTATTTCTAAATGTTGTCTCTCTCTTGTCTCTCACTCTGGTCTCTCTCTCTGGTCTCTCTCTGGAGGCCAGTCCATGTGCTCCTCATAGTCTGAGTTTGTTCATATGGCCAAGGAGAGACGTCAATGCAGAGACTTGAGGCAGGACTATTGTGAGAGGACTTCAGGACAGAGCCCTGAGACCAGGACTGACTTCATGCTCAGTGAAACATTGTAGTGTGATCAAATGAAGACTTACCATACACTAAAATGTAGACTCCGATATGACGACTGAAAATGGTAACTTTTCTAATGTGTCCTGGAGAAGTTCACTCAATTAAACCAATGTCAGTGACCTTTTCCGTCACTCGTGGTGTTAACAGAAGGTGATGGGATCAGGAGGCAGCAGGCGTGATGACAATAAAGCTGTTTGTGAGGATTATAGGACTTTGAGCTCTCTATGGACCCACGTGTCATATAGCCTTTTTGTTCTTTTGAGTTTTCCACTGGTGCCACAACAAATTAAAATGAGGTTATGCGACAAGTCAGGCTTATAATTAACTCAGAGATTATGCAAATCGACTCAATTGCTTCTGTAATGACAACAAGGAAAGACAAAGATCAGCACTTCAGCAGATACGCACAGTCTAAAGTTTAGAGTGGACTCTGTAATATTCCAGTACCTTTGAATGTTCTTGTTCCTTTTATACTTATACAACTCAAACTCCCTCTACTTATTTAGGCAGGCTTAAAGCCAGCTGCTCCATATGAAAAAACATGTTAACTAATAACAAATGTGACCTTATCAAGAATATTTACCTCCACCATGTTTTTTTAATTGTATTCATAGGCTTAGAATTGAACTTATAAGTGTCCATGAGAGAGGGGTGCTCTCAGTGTAAATGCGTCATCTTGGAAACCGGTGGTGGACAAAAAAGCGAGAAACGCGTTTTCGTTTCACATAAGCTACTGATATTGTGGCTTTCACCGTGACTTCACATGGAGGACCACAGTTATGTAAAAGAACGATCGGAACAACAATCTTTTAGAAAAATAATTAAGCGGAAGTCCAGCGTCATAGCAGCAAAGTGTCAACAACACAAACCACACGCACAAAGACAGCGATAACACAACAGGAGGCACATTGTGTAGTTTGTACACAACAGACTCACACGTGAACAATACGTAACTTTTTCACACTGACAATAAGTACGAGGCAGAATCTGCAACACAGTCTCAGGATGTTCTGACCCGATCCGAGCCCAGTCCAACTACTGTCACAAGCTTCAACTAAACTTATTCAAGGCTCAAATAAAACACACACAGAACCCCCTCTAAACAATCACAGAATACTTTATCAGCAGCGAGAGTGAATGTTCTGTTTTTCTTACCTGGTGATGCAGATGCAGCGCTGTGGCTAACGCTAATGCTAACATGAGCTAATGCTAATGCTGTGGCTAACGCTAATGCTAACATGAGCTAATGCTAATGCTGTGGCTAACGCTAATGCTAACATGAGCTAATGCTAAAGCTGTGGCTAACGCTAATGCTAACATGAGCTAATGCTAATGCTGTGATTACGCTAATGCTAACATGAGCTTTGCCATGTCCTGCTGCTGCTGTGTTAACCTCACACAGACTTTATTCCTCCATGTGTCTCTTCTCTTCACACCGCGTTTGTAAAACTATATATTATAATAGATCCATGGTAAAACTATATATTATAATAGATCCATGGTAAAACTATATATTATAATAGATCCATGGTAAAACTATATATTATAATAGATCCACATGGTAAAACTATATATTATAATAGATCCATGGTAAAACTATATATTATAATAGATCCACATGGTAAAACTATATATTATAATAGATCCATGGTAAAACTATATATTATAATAGATCCATGGTAAAACTATATATTATAATAGACCCATGGTAAAACTATATATTATAATAGACCCATGGTAAAACTATATATTATAATAGACCCATGGTAAAACTCAGTAGAGTCTCTGTGTAGGGTGCTGCGTCTGAACAGGTCTTGTTTACATGTCGGCTCCACGCGACGTGTCCGAGACGTTTGGAGAGATCCGGTCACTTATCAAACTAAAGTATTCTTTCCTTGGCAGTCTGGTGAAAGACTGAGAGTTGAGGAGCACTGTCAAACAGTATAGGCAACAGTGCTCCTCAACTCTACAGGCACCCGTACTATATTAGACTGCAATATAAGATCCCAACGCTAGAGGCACTAAATATTACACAGTGTACCTTTAAAGAACACAGAGGTACTCTGTATACAATGATCCCATAGACGTTTCTATCAGGCCCTCAAGCTCTCCTCCGTTTATGTAAGGGATAATGTATAGTACGCAGGTCATTATCGGAAAATACACTAAGTACCAACAAGTACCTTCCGCCCTGAAGGTACTTATTTTCCGATAATGACCTGTGCAGTAAACATTATCCCGCTTATTATAGGGCTTTATACCATCTGAACACACACAAAATAAACTTCAGTCCACTTTTATGAATGCCGAGAGGTTTATATTAATTACTGCAAATAAAATAAAATTGTATATTATGATAGTATAAATTAGTATAGAATAAAATAGTTCCCAAAGATTTTCCCGTGGCAGGCGAGTGACAGTTAGGCTAGCAACTTCAAAACTCTACATGA